GTAAAATTTAAAGCTGTAACTCTAAATGTTAGAGGATTAAACAAATCTAGAAAAAGAATGAACACTTTTAGATGGTTAAATAATCAAAATATAGGTGTAGCCTTTTTACAAGAGACGTTTAGTCACACAAAAATAGAAAATCAATGGAGAAACGAGTGGAAAGGAATCTCAGTGTTTTCACATGGTACATGTCATAGTAAAGGAGTAGCTATACTTATTTCAGAAAAAATTGATGCTAATATAATTGGTAAGACAGTAGATAAAAATGGTCGGTATGTGATACTTAATGTTGAGATAGATGGCGACACATACTGTTTTGTAAATATATACGCCCCAAATGATAAAAACCAACAAATAGACTTTTTTCAAATTGTGAATCATTTATTGTTAAACAATGTAGATACTAATTATTGTTTTTGCGCTGGTGATTTTAATTGTGCTCTTACAGAAAAAAGACAAATATGGAGGAAAACCTATACAAGAAAAGGCCAAAGTAATAAATGAGATCTTAACGTTAAAAAATACAAATAATTTACAGGACATATGGCGATATCAGCATCCTCTAGAAAAAAGATACACCTGGCATAATGCTGACTGTAAAATTCAATGCAGGCTCGACTATTGGTTAATATCAACAGATTTAAAAGAACTGGTTAGCTCGGAAATAGGATTTGGTCCATCTCCTGATCATAATGCTGCATTTATTACATTTCAATCAAAAAATTTTAAACGACGGGGACCTGGATTTTGGAAATATAATTCGCAATGGGATAATGATAAAGAATATAAAAAGCTAATTCAAGAAGAGATTACAAATTCTAAGGAAAAACACAGAGAGATTCAAGATTTGGGATTAAAATGGGATCTTATAAAAACAGATATTAGAGCAGTATGTCAAAAATATAGTAAGACAAAATCAAAAGAATCCAGACTAGAAGAGGAAAGAGCACTGAAAGACTTAAATGAAGCTCAAGTTGCGCTTGACCAAAATAATAACACTGACACACTTAACAAATATAATGCATGCAAACTTAAAGTAGAACTAATACAGGATAGAAAAACACAAAGTAGCATCATGAGATCCAAAGCAAGGTGGTGTGAGTATGGTGAACGTTCAAGCAAATATTTTCTCAATTTAGAAAAACACAATTACTCAAATAAGATAATAAATTCTATTTATGATAATCGTGGTATATTAATTAATGACCCTGAACAAGTATTAAAAACAGAAAAAGAATTTTACAAAGATTTATACAGTAAAAAGAACAATGATCCTGATGGTGAATATTCTAATATATTTCTACAAAATGAAATTCTAACAATCAATAATACAGACAAGGAAATTTGCGATAAGAGAATTACATGGGAGGAATGCTTTAAATCATTAAAAACTTTCAAAAAGAACAAAACTCCTGGCACAGATGGGCTGACAGCTGAATTCTATTGCACATTTTGGGAAGATATTAAAATAGAAATGACTGACAGTTTTAACTATTCACTTATTAAAGGAGAACTCTCCATATCTCAAAATAGAGGCATCATATCTCTTATTCCAAAAAAAGGTAAAAATAGGCAACATCTAACAAATTGGCGACCACTAACTCTGTTAAACGTGGACTATAAAATATGTACAAAAACTATAAGTGAACGTTTCAGAGATATTTTACCGAAATTAATACATAATGATCAAGTTGGGTATGTGAAAAATAGATATATAGGACAAAGTATTAGACTTATATATGATATGCTAGATTATACAAAAACGAACAACATTCAAGGTCTTCTTCTTTTAATTGACTATAAGAAAGCATTTGATAGTATTGACTGGAAGTTTATGATAAACACATTAGAAAAATTTAATTTTGGGGAAACACTAATAAATTATGTCAGAGCTATATATGCAAAACCACAGAGTTGTGTTATAAATAATGGCTTCACATCTGAATGGTTCCAATTGGAAAGAGGAGTTCGCCAAGGCGACCCACTCTCTGGTGTAATTTTCATGCTTGTTGCTGAATTATTAAGTATTGCTATAAGAGCTGATCAGAGCATAAAAGGAATTCCAATTAAAGATGAATGTGAAGTCAAACTTTGTCAGTATGCTGATGACACTACCATATTTTTGAATGATCAGGAGTCAACAAATAATGCTTTAAATTTAATTGAAAAATTTGGAAAATGTTCTGGTCTAGAAATTAACAAAGAAAAGACTGAAATAATGTGGATAGGAAGGGATCGGGAAAAACAGCAAGATATAAATGGAATCAAATCAAAAACTAGTGTAAAAGCTCTAGGAATAACATTTACCTATGATGCAGATGATAGATCAAAATTGAACATCGCAAAGAAAATTGAAGAAATGAAAAATAAAATAAGATTATGGAACTTGAGGAATTTAACAATAATAGGCAGAATTCAAATTATCAAATCTTTAGGTATTTCTCAGTTAACATATGTAAGTTCAGTTATGCACATACCACCCCAGATTTTACAAGAAATAAACAAAACAATTTTTGAATTTGTTTGGAAAAAGAAACCACCAAAAGTAAAGAGAAAATCAATTATTGCTGAAATTGAACAAGGCGGATTAAAAATGAAAGATTATATCATAATGGATAGATCCCTAAAATGCACTTGGATAAAACGATTGATAGACAAAGAACAATCATCCTGGAAAGAAATTCCAAATTTATTCATTAAACAACATGGTGGAATTGAGTTTCTCACTAAGTGTAACTACCATATAAAGTATTTTCAAAACTATAACGAAATTCCTAAATTTTATTTGACAATGCTAGAAACATGGGCAGAAGTAACTCATCATGATGTTAATAATTGGGATGATGTTGAAAATGAAATCATATGGAATAATAAAAATATTTTAGTCAATAATAAAATGCTGTACTTCAAGAAATGGCATCAAGCAGGTATTGTTAAAATTCATGATATCTTAGACAGAAATGACAACTTCTTATCTAAGACAGAACTGGAACAAAAATTTAGCATTCATATAGACTTTTTGAAATATGCGAGTATACTTAGCGCTATTCCCAAAACATGGAAAAATCTTAAAAATAACAGATTGAAAAACAAATGCACAATTAAAACATTACTGCTTCCCAGTCAATTGACATGTAAAACAATATATAACAAAATCCTTGAAAAAGAGGTAGAAAAACCTACATCTTTGAGAAAATGGATCCAAGAAAATGATGTAAAGGAAACAGAAATGAAATACTATTATACGCTTGCCAAAAAGGTAACATATGAAACAAAAATTTGGAGTTTCCAGTACAAAATATTGACAAATACATTAATATGCAACAATAAGTTAAAAATGATGAACATTACACAGACAGACAAATGCCCATGGTGTGATGAAACCCATACCATGAAGCACATGCTCGTGAACTGTAGAATAACAAAAGATAATATATGGAAACAATTTATTGAATGGTGGAATCAAAAAGTAAATAAAGAATCAAAGGTTACTGAAAATAATATTTTATTAGGTATCATCCGGAACGAAGAGAAAGTCAATGAGCTTAACTTATGTATACTGATTGTGAAATATATTTTATACAAATCATTTTTAGAAAGTGAAATACCTTACTTTTTCCAATTCATCAATTATCTAAGAGTGTATCTAGACAGCATTAAGCACCTAGATCAAAGGGGTATTGATGTAAATGCACTATATATACTTTTCTAGACTTTTTTTAAACACCACATTTTCTGTTTCGTTTATAAAAATAAATGGTCCATTAGGACTCTAATTGAAGAGATATACAATGAAAAAGTCAACGTGTGAGTGGGAGAATGAATGAATGAATTTGAATGGGTATGAATGAAGTTCAAGTTGTAAGATCATGTAAAATTATATCTATTTAAACTTATAGTACATATTTCTACATATAAAACTTTTGTGAAATTACAAATGAAATTACATTTGTACTCTTTTATATATTGTACTTGAAATGTATTAAATGAGAACTTGAATAAAAAAAAATAAATAAAATATTAACCCAACCTACAGTATTTTGCATTGCATATGTTCCTTGATTTGATGTCATTGTGATCTTTCACAGTGACTCAACTTTATAATATAGTTCTCCATATACTATTTTGTTGTGAAATCATGTTAGTTTATATTTGTATTGTAGCACTTGTTTTAATGATCCTTGAACTCACATGTCTCACGATACAATTTAATTTAATTCTATATGATTTTGCTTCAGATGAGAGTAGTTTTTCGGCATAAAATAACATAATCAAATGTAAAAGTTCTTCAACCAATCAAATTATGTTTTGTGGAGTTAAATCGCTTAAATATTTTTTTTTCTTTTGAAATGCAAGTGAATGTGAACTTGTATATTTCTGCCACCAAAATCTTCCAACTTTCGGTAAATATTCAAGCTTGATAGAAAATCATCACTATTTCTTATTGACTTTTTATAAGATTTCACACATATTGGTCAACTTTAGTGAGTGGGATTTCTTAATACTTTTTTTTAGATAGAACTTCTTATTTCAGCTTTACCCACCTTAAAATTCGAGATATAAAAGAGACATTTTGGCATTGAAATCTCAAAACCTTGTTGATTGAACGAACCAAAACCTGTAAGTAGCTGATTTCTCTTATAAATAAATTCTTTAACTTTACATTTGTTCTCATGTTTTGAGACTCAACATCGCCACATATACGTAATTCTTTCTTGCGAAACACTCAATGCGTATAACGTATAATTATTTCCCGGACGAATATGGTATTCATATACTGCCTCCATTGACTAATACTTAGGCTTTAATGAGGAAGATTTATATATAATAGGAGACCAAAATTGTTTTTCCAATTCAAGTTTTGAGTGCAGTGAATTGGATCCCTAATACGATTTTCCTGACAAATATAATTTTTCAGGGGTGAATATGATTTTTCTGAGTGGATATGATTTTATTTCTCAGGGAAAACAGTAGTATTATGAAATAATGAAGTATATTTACCCCTATTGAGAATGTTCTGGAAAACCAGCTCAGGGGTCTGGTCATTAAATGGGGGTATTCCAGTGAGGAACTCGTACAAACACACGCCAAGAGACCACCAATCTACTTCAGGACCTGCAAGTAAATAGACTAATAGAGTGCCCTCTATTTACACATTTATGAAACATTTGAGCTAAAAAATTGGATGCTGACATTGAAGCAAGCAGGTACACCAAATTGAGATTTTAGATTACACCAAACTGAAAACCCCATTATCGCCCACTTGAAAATGATAATAAAAATCATGAGAAACTGCCATATTTTGCAAATTTGGGGGTCAAACTTGAAAAAATAGGAATTTTGCAACCACTTGAAGAAACAAGGCATTAACCTGCAAAATGTCACCACCTGAATTTGCTACAGATGTCAAATGTCGAACACCAAATGCTGAACACCATCCACAAAAAAAAGTTTGAAGATATAACAATATGTCACTCTTGGCTTGACATTACACTGATATAGCTAGAGATGCTTGCTTTAAATAAATACATGTCAGTGTTCTCACTTGGCTTTAAGACTCCAGAGATTCTCCAGAGTCTAATGTCTTAAAACCCTCTTGCTCCAGAGTCTAATAGCTTTTTTGTCACATTATTTGCTGTAAAACTCTTGAGAAAATACATAAAACTGGATACAAACAAGGAATACAAAGTCAGAAACCTTTTAGAAATAAATATCGGGATTAAAATAGCAAGATAAATCTTAAGAAGTATGTTGAAAAGTATACTCGATATCTCTGATCTCACATGGGGGAGAAGTAGTTGCGATACTGCGAAAAAAGTAGTCACAATACCGCTAAAAATCCGGGGTCTAAAAATTTCCTGGTGAGAACCCTGCATGTACATATTACTGTACTACAATAAGTACAGTAAAACCTGTATATCCCAACACTGTCTCGTTTTTTAACTTACCACAGACTTTCTTGTTTAAAACATTGAAATGTTAAATGATAACACCTGTTAATCTAAGCACTTTTGGCATTCACGTTAGACAGGTTTTATTGTATACTTTAAAATGCGTCCTCCTAATATGTCCAGAATCCATACCTCCTTCTTCCCCCCTGCTATAGCCAATTTGGAAGCGCCCGATTTAACTGAATGACGTGATCTAATTATGCGCAATGACTTATACATGATTTCTGTCACAGTGTTGCAACAGCCAATCAGATTGCGATTTCTTAATCTGGGAAATGCTATCTGCTTATCGCAGGGGGTAAAAAGAAAGAATATATTCTGGATTTTGAAGCCCTGTGATCGGAGGATGTTTAAAATGTTAATGAATTTTATTGTATTTACCATGGTCTTTTTGTAGCAGTAGCTCCGGAGCCAAATAATCTGGAGTACCCAGAATCCTCTTGTCATCTTCTTTCTCAGGAGCAGGACCACGACGTACACTTTTTGGCGTTCTAAATGGGGTGTTGGCGGCATTTAACCCAGCAGGAGTCCTGGCAGCTGGTGTCTGGGGAGATACATAAGGGTTATGTACTGGGAGGTTTTGGATATGGGGTTTATCCAGAGGGAGATATGTGTATTTCAGGGGATATATGGAGACATATTTATACAAGAACACAAATGTGTACAAAATGTCCCCACCAAGTGGTGATCCCGTGAAATGGTTATCCTGAAAATGAGTAGACAAGACTTTACCAACACAATTTGAGGACGGAAAATCCAAAGTGGCCACCTTAAAATTTACCCAGAATGCCAAAAATTTAGTCAGTTCTAGATTTTCATACTAAGAACCACCCCTGAAAATTTGAAATTGATCCGTCACACAGTTAACCAGAAAACATGTAAACAAGACTTTACAGACAAGATTTCAGGATGGAAAATCCAAAATGGCTGCCTTGACATTTACCTAGAATCTCAAAAAACTAATCTGTTTGTAGATTTTCATACTAAGAATCATCCCTGAAAATATGAAATTGATCTACCAAACGGTTCACCTGAAAACGGGTAGACAAGACTTTACAGACAAGATTTTAGGACAGAAAATCCAAAATGGCTGCCTTAACATTTACGCAGAATGCAAAAAAAGTAATCAGATGTAGATTTTCATACAAAGAATCATCCCTGAAAATTTGAAATTGATCTATCAAACCGTTCTCCTAAAAACGCGTAGACAAGACTTTACAGGCAAGATTTTAAGATGGAAAATCCAAAATGGCTGCCTTGACATTTACCCAGAATGCAAAAAAACTAATCAGTTCTAGATTTTCATACTAAGAATCATTCCTGAAAATTTGAAATTGATCTACGAAACGGTTCACCTGAAAACGAGTAGACAAGACTTTACAGACAAGATTTTAGGACGGAAAATCCAAAATGGCTGCCTTGACATTTACCCAGAATGCCAAAAAACTAATGAGATCTAGATTTTTATACTAAGAATCATCCCTGAAAATTTGAAATTGATCCACCAAACGGTTCACCTGAAAACGCGCAGACAAGACTTCACAGACAAGATTTTAGGACCGAAAAATCCAAAATGGCTGACAATAAAAAAGTCCTTATGAGTTTTTGCTGATTTCTTTTTACAAAATTATCACATATAACTACTGTTAACAATAAAGTAGGCTTTTACAGCAAAGTACATCTGAAATTATTTATAAAGCTACTAAATAGTTAAAGTATGAAAACTCAAAAACACCATTCAATATGATACAAAGTATTATCGCGCGCTAACTTTTCTTAAGACATTCAAAATGGCTGACATGACTGAGCTAGCAGGTCCAAAACCTAATCAGATCTAGAATGAAGTGAGCTGAACAAGATGTTAAAGTTTTAAAAGCAACTGTGAAGCAGTTTTTCTTAAAGTTTGCAGACAAGGATTTTAGCATTTGACTTCAAAATGGCCGACAGGAAGTAGGTATCGAGTTAATTTTTTTTCATCCACATCTGTATGCACTCATAAGTTATCCCTGAAAATTTGAAGGTGATATCTGTAGCGGTTTTGGAGAAAACTGCCGGACGTACGGACAGACAGACGGACAGACGGACAGACAGACGGACGCGCCTAGGCCGACAATATGGCCCCACACTATGTGGTGGGGACATAAAAATGAACATGATGTCAACAGAAGGGCCATGGTTACATTTAATCATGTATAAATAAAAGTTTAATTGATAAATTCAACAGATTGTCTACAATGTACATGTTTAAAAAAATTGAATTGGGCATTGGAAACAGTTTACATAACAAACCAGAGCAACGGCAACGCCAAAGCGTAGCAAATCCCATCGAACAGAAATGGCTGGCATTTTTACAAACGAATAGCAAATATCATAAAACAACACACCAGAAAGGCCACCATTTTCAAAATGGTTGCTCACTAGCCAAGTTGTCATCAGAAGAAATAATATGCTTTTAAGTAGCCACCTCTAAAATTTTTGAAAAATCTCACACGTACTTGTAAAATTACACACATAAAAATGGTGGCCATTTTTCAAAATGGCCAACTACTCCCCAAAGTTTTATTAGACAATGTGCCATGCTTAAAGTATTCACATATCAAATATGAACAAAATCGCTCCACTACTTTTCGAGTTATAGTAAAATATGTTAAAATGGCGGCCATTTTTCAAAATGGCCACCGTCTACCAAAAGTGTCATTAGAAATAGACAGTGTGCCATGCTTATAGTATTCACATACCAAATATGAACAAAATCACTCCACTACTTTTCGAGTTATAGTAAAATACGTTAAAATGGCGGCCATTTTTCAAAATTTTTTTCAAAATGGCCGCCTTCTACCAAAAGTGTCATAGGACAGTGTGCCATACTTATAGTATTCACATACCAAATATGAACAAAATCGCTCCACTACTTTTCGAGTTATAGTAAAATACGTTTTCAATTTTTTTTTCAAAATGGCCGCCTTCTACCAAAAGTGTCATATGACAGTGTGCCATGCTTATAGTATTCACATACCAAATATGAACAAAATCGCTCCACTACTTTTCGAGTTATAGTAAAATACGTTAAAATGGAAGCCATTTTTCAATTTTTTTTTCAAAATGGCCGCCTCCTACCAAAAGTGTCATAGGACAGTGTGCCATGCTTATTGTATTCACATACCAAATATAAACAAAATCGCTCCACTACTTTTCGAGTTATAGTAAAATATGTTAAAATGGCGGCCATTTTTCAAAATGGCCGCCTTCTACCAAAAGTGTTTTTAGACAGTGTGCAATGCTTATAGTATTCACATACCAAATATGAACAAAATTGCTCCACTATTTTTTGAGTTATAGCAAAAATCGTAAAATGCAAGTAAAGGCCGCCATTTTTCAAGATGGCTGCCATGTGCTTCTTTAATATCTACATTTGTAGCATTATTAATGTCCTTTATAATTTTTTTACATTTAAAACATATTGCTATTACAGTTTTACATATTACACCTAAATTACTGTAAAATCGGCACTAAAATGGCCATTTTGAAAATCGGCTTTCGAGCAGAATTTCTACCCCCATAGGGTATATGTGTACAAAATATGAACAAAATTGGGCCAACGGTATTTGAGTTATTGCCCGGACGGACGGACGGACGTACGTACGGAGGCGTTCCCTATATCCCTCCGAACTTCGTTCGATTGGATAACAAAACATAACCACTGTAATTAAGGGGAGGCATCAAATGTTTGATGTCGGATCGGAAACTAAATAAATCAAGTTTTGATTTTGACCCCCCTCCCCTCAAAAAAATTAAATATCATGAAAGTTGATCGTGGTCTTTGAACCCCCTGATATCGAAATTTTGATGCCTCCCCTAAGGTGGGAGATGCCTTCATACAAAGTAACATTGCAAGCATAGATGAGCACGTCCCCCAAGCTAAAACAAATCTCCCTTTTTGAACAAAAGTCTCATATGAATACAGCTCCAGTTGTCTAACTCACCATGATGCCTAGTCCCGGTAAGCCTCTAGGCAAGGGTGTCCTACAAAGACCACACCCAAGCCCCTCACTGCCAAAGCTTGAATCTGACGTGACGCTTTTAAAGCGGGTGTTTTTAATAAGGGGTTTTACCAATGGGTGGGTGCGAACTCCAGGTGGACTATCAAGGGGAGATTTAAGCTGCAATAGAGGGAAAGTAGCTAATTTATATATTCATAGCTAAGCATACTGTGTTTGTGTACAAAACTGGAATGCATTCCATGCTATGGATAGGAAATAGAGTGAAGCTGATTTTTTGAAGTCGTGTCACATAATATGTTATAGTACATCAACAACACAGACTAATACAGAACGGGGATTGTAACTTATACAAACAAGTAATACTGAAGGCTATTGTAATACAAAGTTGACATTTTTAACTAGTACTACGTATGCGATTAAAAATAGTACATTTACAAACCTTTTAGGATTGCAATTTTAGGATAAATGAAAATAAAATGTTAGACAAGACCTATTCAGAAAAACAGACACAGTCAACATTATGTAGTTTCCTGTTGCCTATTTATTTTCTTGATAGGGGGCAGCACGATATGCTGCTTGAGCATGGCTCCCAACATCCAGGTACTTTTTGTATCAAGAATATTGAAAAACAATAATTAAGTGGACTTACCTGTCCTGGAGTTTTGAGTGGATCACTCTTTTCTTCAATAGAGAGCTCCTGCATACTGTGTTCAACATCAGATCCTGTTGTGTTCAGTGATGTATTCATAGACTGCAATGGCGTATCTGATATCACACTTCCATCAACCAATCCTGGATTCTTCTCATTGTTAGTGTTTGTGCTACTACTGAATAAGCCACGGGATAGGGCTGTAGACTGGGGTTCTATATTGCTAGGGTTTGAACTGTTACGAGGTATGTATAAATGCGAGCCATTGTTTGTTGGTAGGGAAAGTGAGCGTGATTTGTTTTGCGATAAATCAGGACTGCACATCATCACATCTGATTGGTTAACTTTTTGAGGCGTGGCATAATCGATTGATATCGATACTTTAGAACATTCTGATTTTTCAACTGAATGTTCCTCATGTGATTTAGAATGATCGTCATTAGAGGTATCTCCAAGGTTGCTTCTCCGGTCAATGTTTGTGTATGACGCAAATGGAACAATATCACTTAAATTCAGCTCATCTTCGCTCGTATCAGAATCACTCTCAATATGAAATGAGACATTTGATTTCGAATGATAGATGGGGCTACTGATGCTTGGGTCAGTTGTTGCTATGGGAGACAGATGCGAAACATCAAGAACTGGCTCTTCAGTGCCATCTTTTGGTGAATCTAAACTTGCTGATCCTGGACTAGATAACTTTGTTTCTGATATATGAGTCACTGGCGATACTTCAATTCTCAATTCATCGGAGCTCTTCAATTCGCTTAAACTCCCAGAATTCAACTCCATTGACGGGGACTTCCTATGTGAGAAGAACACAGGGCTAGCTGAATAATCAAATGACTCGATATTTGAGAAATCGGGCAGATACCCAGCACCTGAAATATGACTGTCCATTCTAGGGTTCTCAACCGATGACAACTCGCTAAAATCACCAAATGTATGATTACGTCCTAGGACTGTCGAAATCTGCGTTGATGTGGATAACCGTCGCATATCATGCTCTGTCACTGACTTGAGAGAGTTTGAACGTTTCAGTCGATGTTCATCTCCATAAACACCCAATGATGCAAATTCAGATGTCATGCCAGTTTTAGATTGCAATTGACGTAATAATCCTTTTGATAATGGACTTTTATCGACACAATCAAATGATCGCTTTCTAACCCCTAAACTATTCTGAAGAACTGCATTGTTTGATTTCATTGATTTGCCTGAGAATGGAAGTTGATTCTCTATAGATTTTAAAGGTTCCCGAAAATGCGCTTTGTCAACTTCATCATATGAGCAATCATCAGGGACAAAACCCTCTCGTAGGCTCTTCAAATTCTTCGCAGCGAAAGATTGTGATATTGCGTTTTTGCTGCGGAATAAATGTGGAGTGTCATCTTCATCATTTGCAATATGACCCTCCCCCTCCTCGACAGTTTCCATATGTGTCCTTGCATCTTGCCGAAATTTAATGACATCATCACTCCATGGTATCGATGGAGACCGTGAGTTCAATTTAGAGTTAAATAGAGTTACGAGGGAATCTTTACGTCTCTCACTAACTCGACTGCTCTGCTCCATGCTGGGTGAGGAATCATAGATTGACGCCTTGGAGATGCCAACTTTCCGATAGATGGAGCTTAACTCACTCGATTCTCCTGTTGCATTCTGGGTAGGTTTGTATGAGCAGTTACCTTAAAAAATAATTTTTACTATATCATTTATAATGCAAAGTATGAACATGAAACAATAATTTATAATTTTACTTAAAAAAAAAATTCAACGATTAACTTTAGAGAGGGAACTGCCTACCCGAAATCTAAGTGAGTAACAACTACTGTGAATGAATAATGACAAAAAATTGAAAGACTTAAAACTGCGATCATTAAAGGAATATTCCTTGCCAAACCATCTCTCTCTTAGCAAAACACGCAAAAATGTTTTGATATGGTCAAATTTGATCACTAAGAAATGTGATGCTTAATTCCAGTAAGCTGCCATCTTTTAAAATTTCACACAGGAAGTGATGTCATCGACTCTCAACTTTGCATATAGCATTAGGTGAAGAGCTATTAAGAATTACAAAACCAGCTTAATATTCTTTTTCAACTTTGTATCTTATTTAATCCTTCTGAAAATCTCTTCTTTTATTCTAAGTTGACAAGCCCTGAAAATATTTTTGCACAGAAAGTAATGATCACTTGCCTAGAAGTGATTTTGTGCTACTTTCCTATACTGTTAAGGGCAAGGTTATAGAAGTTGAGAGTTGATGACATCACTTCCTGCAAGAAATCTTAAAAGATGGCAGCTCACTGGAAATAAGCACTAGATTTTAAATGATCAATATTGACCATATTAAAACATTTTCCCATGTTTTGCTAAATATAGAAACTATATATGATTATAGCTACCATATCAGGAGAGAAAGGGTCTGGCAAGGAATATTCCTTTAATAAACACATATATCTGATGAAAGAAACTGATAGTCTGAAGGATGAATATCAAGTTTTGTGTAATGTCTTTGCATGGGTAACCTGACTACAAATTGTGTAAACTGAAAATATGAACAGTAGTCTTTACCAATAAACGATCCTCCGCTAGAGTAGTTGAGTGAGTCCTGTAGCGTGGGGGTGAGGTTGTTGATCGGTGGGGGTGTCTCAAAGCCTACTGTCTTAGGAGTATGTCGCTTAATACCATCCATGTGAGACCTGGGGGTACGTGGGCTATGACGAATTGGTGGACGTTTCTTTGATGCAGCAATACTCTGAAAATTAATTTAAATACACTTCTTATAATATTTCAAATCATTGTAAATACCATTATGTGGCACCTAATACTCCTTTTTAGGGGTCAAAGTACCACTACAACCTGTATATATGTTACATTGATTTTAATTTTAAAAAAAATTTAAAAAAATACAATATAGGTGTGCAATCAGCTATAATAGGCTGTACAATGGGTTATCTTGATGATAGTGCCAGATGAAAGTCAATTCATAACAAGAAGAAATCTAATTCAGTTGACACTGCCCGATTCAGTGTTTTCTCGTAATGCTGGCTCATAATTACAGATATAAGAAAAGTTAACATTATTTGAGCAGCACATTTCAGTCATCATGTCAGTATTAAAGCAAGTGGATCATGCTCCCATTCATTTCAGATTTCAAAAAAGGCTTGCACCAAAATCTATTTGAACCCATTTGAAAATTTGGCATATTTTAAAATCTATTTGAACCCATTTGAAAATTTGGCATATTTTAAAATCTATCTGAACCCATTTGAAAATTTGGCATATTTTAAAATCTATTTGAACCCATTTAAAAATTTGGCATATTTTAACCATTTTATGGCAGATTTGTAATGTGAGAAATTTGAAAAAAAATTATTATGAAAACTCTGAGAATTTCTCTTTAATGGAAAAACACATAGAAAATGTGAGAAAGTCCTGTTGCAGCTGAAACTTAAGTCTTAAGAAAAACTTACAAAAGCCAGTGAGCTGGTGAGAGAGAGGATTTGTCCTGGAGTACGGAAGTAATCAGACTTGGCCTTAGCTGCAGTAGGCGTATTCTGAACGTCACTAACTCCTAGTTCTAAAATATAACAAACAGGTTATTTGTCTGCAAATTTCACTCAACTAATACCTAACCCCTAGAAATGAATAAGATATTCTGTTTGTTTGATATTCTAATTGTATTGTCTAGTATATTTTTGAATGTACCTTATTACCACCAAACAGTCATCCAATAAACCATTCATAAGGAACAGACACAATAGAAACAAATAACATAATCATTACTGATAAGCCAAATGGGTTACTAATGAACACAAAATGCAAAGTACGTATAGTAGAGTGAATTTGTCTGTTTTGCAATCAAGGTCTTTGTCTGAAGTTTAGATGCACATGATTCAGATCAAACTGATTTGAAATTATAGGTAACATGATACATCTCAAACATGTGATTACTATAAAACTTACAGAACATAAAACGAGAATTTTTTAGTTACTCACGGGATTGTAGATTGGTTTGGGATAGTCCAAAGTCTGTCAGTTTTATATGACCTTTGTCCGATATCAACATATTGTCAGGCTTCAAGTCTCTGCAAATCACAATGTTATTTTCAATCATTACTTGTTTAAGATTACTTAAGATCACATATTTAGTCATGTGACTATCTGAGCAGTATAGTTGAAATTCAGCGTACATATGCAGTGCTCTCCCCAGGTTTTGTTATTTTCATTGCAACATTTTAGTATTTTGTAACTTTTTGTGTAACATTTTATGATTTTGTAATTTTTTGCAACATTTTATGATTTTGTAATTTTTTGTGCAGCATTTTAGATTTTTTTATTGTAACATTTAAGAGGCGCATCTAATTGCATCGAGGAGTATTTTGGTTTTATAAAATATATGAAGGAGCAGCGCCTCAGAGATTTCACTGTGGGAGAGCACTCGGATATACCAATTTGGAGAGAAAACCTCACTTTTTATTAGATATCTTGTATCTGAACTGAGCATATTATATTAGCTCTTTTTCAAAAATAGTAAAAACCATTAACACATGTTCAATTCAATTCAATATATCCAAAATAAAACATGAAAAATGATCAAAATTTGAAATAACAAATGTCGAGAGAAGTAATACCATACAGTCATTTGTAGCTCAAAATTAGACTACAATCCATGAAAAATTGAAATTAACATACACTAAAGAGGAAGAAAATGAACATCTAGAAATCTGTTTCCTCTATATATAATATAATATATTAAAAAACTTCACCTGTGTATTATTCCGTGTTTATGAAGGTATTCTAGCGCCAGGATCACCTCAGCTGTATATAGCACCGCCATCTCAAGCTCAAAATATCCATATATGGCTAATAAAGACTTTACATCGCCACCTATCATATACTCCATGACCTGAAAAGTAGAAGAAGCGATAATGCCTAATATATGATAAATATCACTGCGTTTGATATTTTTTTAGATTTGTTTCAACTACAGAGAAATCCCCAAAAATTCAAGCAGAAGAGGCTGTTTTTAAATCGCAAAGTTTAGAATAGTTTGCAAACTTGTTGAATACTTATAGGAGAAAAATCTTTGCTTGCACTGACAGTGAACCTTTTTACTTAATAACTGACACAACCAGGAACTAAATCAGCCTGAATTAACCTGACCCAAACACACGCCCGGTGATCGTGAAAATGGGACGGAGGGGGGGAGCAGGCAATTTCCGCTAGAAAATTCAACAAATCTGGTAAAATTATTTTTTCAAGACAGAGTTTACGATTGAATTGCAAATTGAATAAGCGCATGGTATGATAAAATATGTTAGGTATTCTAGGATTATTTTTCAACCGATACTCTTTTAAGATATAAGATCTATTAAAAAAGGCGCAACGCAACCAACGTGCAAGAGTCAAAGTTTTTGCTATAAATCAAGCAACAATGGACTACACGACCTGTAATAAATACTTGTAAGTGATGTTATCATAACTAAATTAATGTCATTGCTGAATTTATAAAATAAGTTTCCATACGTAAAATAAAAAATAATCGAAAATAATTAAAATGGGACGGAGGGGGGGGAGGGGATGGAGGGGGGGAGTAATAATTCTATAAAGTGAAACAACTTCACACGAATTCTTGTATTTGAAAAATGAACTCATTAACTTAGTAAGAAACTGGATGATATACCCCTGGAGACTGAAAAATGGGTACATTTGGAGTAAAAGGACTTAAAGTCGCGAAACATCTCTAATCATGTCTTATATACATATTGCTCCCCCCCTCCGTCCCCTCCCCCCCCCTCCGTCCCAAATTCATTATTTTCGATTATTTTTTATTTCACATATGGAAACTTATTTTATAAATTCAGCAATGACATTAATTTAGTTATGATAACATCACTTACAAGTATTTATTACAGGTCGTCCAGACCATTGTTGCATGATTTATAGCAAAAACGTTGATTTGTGCCTGTTGATGGCCTTGCGCCTTTTTTAATAGATCTCATACCTTAGATGCGTATCGTTTCAGAAAAAATCCCAGAAAACCTAACATATTCTACCATACCGTGCGCCTATCCATTAAGCAATTCAATAGTAAACTTTTTCTTGAAAAAATAAATCTTCCAGATTTGTTGAATTTCCTAGCAGAAATTGCCTGCTCCCCCCCCCCCTCCGTCCCATATTCACGATCACCGGGCGTGAAACAGGAGTCTCATTAGCAACAGGCAATTCAGAAAATCACTTGTTGTTTTTAGTGATTTTTCAACTTTTCCATGTTAAATTTATGATTTCCATTAATTTTGCTTGTTTGCATTTATTTAGCCTGCTGTGAGAAATTCGAGTGAAATCCATGCCAACAGCAACTCATTTTTAATAATTTTGGTCTCATTTCATAAAAGATTCTGTACTGTTCTCCCCTCATTCAGAATGAATAAAGAGACAAGCATTTGATAATAGTAAACTAACAAAGGACTACTGGACGTAAGTTGTATTCTATACTACAGTACATATATGTTATGTGTATATTTGTGTTTATATGTACATGTACAGCGATACCTGTAAAGTGAAATACCTTTGAAAGTGGAACACCTCCGTCGGTGGAACACCTTCCAAATGTAACACTTTTTAGAGGTACCAAAGGTTTTTCGCTTAGACAGGTTTACGGTACTAAATACAACTCACTAGATAGACGTAAAATATACTCACTAGATAAACATTCTGTTTGGACTGAAGACAGTAATAGAGATGTACTACAAAAGGACTTTTGGTCAGAGCCAAGGCATCCCTCTCTGCTATCACTAGAATGAAAAATTCATTTGTTGTTAAGGTTATAGTTTTAAGTTCTAGTAATTTACACATGCAATATTTAAACTTCTATTAAAATATTACACTCAGGGTCTCCTCAGGACTTTTCTCAAAAGCGTGTTTCTGATCCTAATATTTCCAGTTTTGATCAAAATATCAATAGACTACAAGAGTGGTGTGAAAATTTCAGTTCAACCATCGATCGATCTAATAATTTGGGTATCACTGCATTTACAGATTTGGTCCATTTTAGACACTGGGTGGGCCCAGAAAAAAAATTGGGCCTAAACATTTTTGTAGGGCCTTAATTAGTGGTCCTCTTTTGGCATAACTTGGCCTTTTTAGGCCAAATTATCAAATAATATGCCTTAAATTTTCAAATTTTGGGCCCATTTTTGGATTTAGGGGTCCAAATGTTTTCCTGATTTGAAATATGCCCCCCTGTTACGTTCAATAATAACAGAAAGTAAAAACAGCAATTAAAATATGATAACAATATATTTATGTTTTGAAAACTAAATAATATAACAATGATATAAAGGAGGTTTAATACTTAAGTGATGTCCAATCAATGATACGGCTTATTCTTGATGTCGATAAATATCCTTGACGATCCTTGAGAATGTTCCAGATCACGAACGTTTCAGTAATCGTTAATAGTTCTCCAATGTTTGTAATAATCCAATAATGTTTGTCGTAATCCTATAATGAACGTATCCAATAATGTTTGATGATAATCCACAAATGTTTGATGATAATCCACAAATGTTTATGATAATCCACGTATGTATATGATAATCCGTATATAGTGTGTGTTGTAATATTTGTCCATATAAAGTCCTCAGGTTGTGTGTTTGTAGTGTTATAAATGTTCCCTCAGTAATTATCTGCTAAGAAGATGTCCTTTTGATAAACTTTGAAATTCTGCTGACAGCCCAAATCAGCTCTCTCATTATATAGTGCAAAGGCATAGTCCAGATGTTTCAAGAAGTTACGATTTCTGGAAATCAACACTGATTGGACATCTTAAGTCACATGATTCAATCTTGATTTAATGATTATAGTTCCAGTACTTTCTAGAAGGCCAATGGTTAATGAGTCATTCAGTTCAGTTATGTTTACAAGATATAATGTCATTGTGACCTTGACCTAAGATCTCTAATGAAGAATAGCTCAACATATACAGCAAACATACATTACAAATTAAACTATAGGTGAATATAGTAGAATATAATATGCATGTAGCTCACTACTGTAACACCTCCCTCCTTAAAAGAAAAGTTTTGAATGCAATGAAAAACTTTTACAATAATATCTTGAGTAGCGAGCGTTACAATTTCTAAAAGTGAGGTTGAGACTTACATAATATTTGTTTACAATAGTCTTTTTATGTGCAGTATGTTTACAAGTATTTAATACTTTCTATCGTTACAGTGTGAGTACAATCTAATAACATATAATGTTCTTGTAATCATATACTACAATAGTATCTACATAAGTTATGCATTAAGTCATAAATACAATACACGCAATAGATCATATAACATGTACAATAGCATACATTTTTGAGTCTGACAAACACTAAACTAGTACAATGTTTTAAATTATCACATGATCTTATGTAAGTATTTCTAATAGTACACTCTGATGTTATCAAGTAATCTTGTGACACTATTTAAAGATTACCTATAATGCTCACATAATCTAGAAACATTCTTGTAGTTCATATAATATCAATTTCACTGTTTACTATTTAGGCAAATGTTTTTATATATTGTTGAAATAAAGTGACAGTTATCACAAATCTCTAATTTGCCTACCATATAATATAATCTTCATGAGTTAATCATTATAATTTACAATATCTGACTCTTGAATAACATACATGTATGGTTGTCATTGACATACAAGTTTGGCCTATGAGCTAAGAGCACAAGCTCATGTTGAGTAAAGAAATTTTATCACGCTCAACATACTTTTTCATCATGTGTAGCTCTCTACACCTCACAGGGGTAGTTTCATCAATGCCAATGAAATCATTCAGCACTGAGTCAGATTGTAAGTCAGATATAAGCTCCTTTGGTAGCCCAACTAATGTGAAATTGTTGATTTGTGATTTCACAATATACTTGGTTTTGCTATTTCTAAGCATGAGGAGTGATTTTATTGTTGGAAACTGTGTGGTCATAGATAGAATAGTGAGCAGATATTGACTATCAGATTTTGTTTTTGGTAATGGACCAACACAGTCAGTAAGAACCTTACTGAATGGTTCATCAAATGCAGGTATAGGGTGTAAAGGAGCAATTGGAATTTTTTGGTTAGGTTTCCCTACCATTTGGCATGTATGACAAGACCTACAATACTCTTGGACATCTTGTTTTAACTTGGGCCAAAAGAAATGATTGAGTATTTTATGGTATGTTTTAGTTACTCCTAAATGACCTGCCATGGGAGAATCATGAGCTAGACTCAAGACTTCCTTATGATATGATTTGGGGACAACAATTTGATGTACAATTGCCCAATCATCTTCAGGGGAAGCTTCAAGAGGTCTCCACTTTCGCATTAATATGCCATCCTTTTTGTAGAAACAAACAGGGACCTTGTCAGCTTCATCAATAGTTAGACATCTTTTATGAAGATCAATGAGTGATGGATCATGCTCTTGTTCATAAATTAACATGGGTTTAGAATGAGGATCATTTTTCAAAGAATCACTATCAGAAATAGAGGATGAAACCTCAGAACAAGGAGGAGATGAAACCTCATGAACACTAGCAGAAGAAGATGAAACTTCATCAGGACTAGCAAGAGCGGGCGAAACCGCATTAAAATAGTGATCCTGCTCAGAAGGTGAATCACCTCTGGCAATAGGCTTTTTCAATGAAGAATTTGCCTCAATAGATGACTGCTTGGCTTGAACAGAAGGCTGTTTCAATGAAGAATTTGCCTTTAAAATAGGATAAGGATCATCTTTAACAAGTGGTGAGTGACATTCATCATCAAACAAGGAGCTTAAAAACCCACTATCAAAGTCATCTCCCACAGACGAATCCCCGCTATTAGCTAACTTTTTAGCCATAGCCCTAGTAACAGCACAAGCAGGATATATATCAGAGTCCTCTTGGACAGAATCCTCAATAGAACAAGGCTGATCAGAAACAATGGGGTCTAATGATACCTTACCCCCAGCTAAATCATTGCCTAAAAGCAATGCGACTCCTTCAACAGGAAGTTGTGGCCTAACACCAACAATAACTGGCCCTTTGACTAACTCTGATGTGATATGAATACGATGGAGGGGAACTTTAGTAAAACCTAATTCAATGCCTTGCATCAAAATATGGGTACCCGTGAATGACTCCTCAGATAAAGGAAGGACACCTTCTAACAACAAAGTCTGAGATGCACCCGTGTCTCTAAGAATCTTAACAGGCTTTGAATTGGTATCATCACTTGACAGTGACACAGATCCTTCCGACATGAAAGGCTTATAATCCTCCATAATATCACTATGAGTAGATTTCTCAGTATGAGTATATGAATCCCAAACAATGGGCTTTCTTGAAATGGGAACAGTAGCACAACCATTTGAATGAGCAGAACCAGACATCTCTCTTCTATTCTTAATCCTATAGCATTCAGAAATAAGATGACCAGGCTTTTTACAATAATTACAGGTGACGTTTGATTTTGGACCTGAAGAATTTGATTGATCTGATTTTGAGCTAGAACTCTGTGATGAATTAGACTGGTCTTTTGCTTTGTTTAATGTATTTGATGATGAGGACTGATTTGATTTAGAGTCATATGAAGGTTTGTTACCCTGATAACCTCTAAAGTTTGAGTTAGGATTACCTTTGATAAAACTACCCTTATGAGTAAGAGCATAATCATCAGACAGGGTGGCAGCTTGACTTAAAGTTTCTACCTTGTGTTCATCTAAGTAAGTTCTAATGTGATACTGAACACAGTTTTTAAATTGTTCTATTAGCATAAGCTCTCTGAGCTTTTTAAATTCTTCAGATACATCCTTAGAGACAAGCCACCTGTCAAAAAGCTGCTCTTGCTCTCGAGCAAACTCAACATGGGTTTGGTCACTCTGCTTGTGGGCATTTCTAAATTTTTGTCTGTAAGCTTCTGGCACTAGTTCATAAGCTTTAAGAATTGCATTTTTAATTAGGTCATAATCAGAGCATGCTTCTGCGGAGAGAGAGGCAAATATTTCACTCGCTTTACCAATGAATACACTCTGAAGCATAACTGGCCATGCTGATTTAGGCCAGTCTAGGCTCTGAGCGACTTTTTCAAAATGTGTAAAGTATTTATCAACATTTTTCTCTTGAAATTTAGGTACAAATTTGAGAAATTTTGAAGCGTCAAACCTATTTTCAAAATGTTGATGCATAGTAGCATGTTCATCAGTTTTGGATTGAGCTTCTATCTCAAGACGTTTCAATTCAATTTCTCTTTGAATTTCTTGTTCTCTCATTTGTCTTTCATTTTCTCTTTTTTCTCTTTCATTTTGCATTTGCAGTTCTTTCTCTCTCATTTCATTTTGTAATTCTTTTTCTCTCAATTCTCTAATTTCTCTTTCTTTTTGAATTTCTAACTCTTTTTCTTTCAATTCTCTAATTTCCCTTTCTTTTTGAATTTCTAACTCTTTTTCTCTCAATTCAAGTTCTTTGAGCTTAATAGGATCAACATGCTCAACATGCTGGGCTGGCTGCTCAGGCAGAAGTGATTCTGCGACCAAATATTGAAGTACAAAGTTTTTAATTGTATCCTTTTTGTATGAACTTTTGACTGACAGGCCAACATGTTTTGCAATTGCCAGAAGTTCAGTTTTCTTTAAATCATCAAATTCCTCCAAAGAGGGCGCTTCTAAAAATGTCTCAACCTCAAAACTCATTTTCGATTAATTGCTGTCTTCACAATTTTAAATGAACAAGTTTTGGATTTTGAATTTAAAATATTTGTATTCTAGCTTGTTGTAGTTGGATCCCGGACGAGCCCCCAATTTCTGTTACGTTCAATAATAACAGAAAGTAAAAACAGCAATTAAAATATGATAACAATATATTTATGTTTTGAAAACTAAATAATATAACAATGATATAAAGGAGGTTTAATACTTAAGTGATGTCCAATCAATGATACGGCTTATTCTTGATGTCGATAAATATCCTTGACGATCCTTGAGAATGTTCCAGATCACGAACGTTTCAGTAATCGTTAATAGTTCTCCAATGTTTGTAATAATCCAATAATGTTTGTCGTAATCCTATAATGAACGTATCCAATAATGTTTGATGATAATCCACAAATGTTTGATGATAATCCACAAATGTTTATGATAATCCACGTATGTATATGATAATCCGTATATAGTGTGTGTTGTAATATTTGTCCATATAAAGTCCTCAGGTTGTGTGTTTGTAGTGTTATAAATGTTCCCTCAGTAATTATCTGCTAAGAAGATGTCCTTTTGATAAACTTTGAAATTCTGCTGACAGCCCAAATCAGCTCTCTCATTATATAGTGCAAAGGCATAGTCCAGATGTTTCAAGAAGTTACGATTTCTGGAAATCAACACTGATTGGACATCTTAAGTCACATGATTCAATCTTGATTTAATGATTATAGTTCCAGTACTTTCTAGAAGGCCAATGGTTAATGAGTCATTCAGTTCAGTTATGTTTACAAGATATAATGTCATTGTGACCTTGACCTAAGATCTCTAATGAAGAATAGCTCAACATATACAGCAAACATACATTACAAATTAAACTATAGGTGAATATAGTAGAATATAATATGCATGTAGCTCACTACTGTAACACCCCCCACCTCCCATTGTTAGCTTCTGAATCCTCCAGTGATAGAAGAGTCCCATATGTAGTTTGTTCATCCAGTATTAGTATAATAATAAAGAAAATTGTATAATTAACAAACCTTGATGAGTCATATTCTTATTCACCATATCTGCCTTCCGCATGACTTTGATTGCATATAACTTGTTACTCCTTCCCTCTTTGTGGCCAAGGAACACTTTCCTGAAACAGAATACTTCAGTTAATTTGGTTGGAATCAAATGTGACGATTTCATGGATGATAGACCACAAGAACAAGTCCCGAGCCTCAGAAGCATTTTAAAAACAGGTGTTATAAAATCTTTGGTATATGCAGTAATCTCCCCAGGATTTTTTCTCAGGTGGGTGGAAAATTTTCACAATTCAGACCAAAATTGGTCAAAATATGCCAATTTTTCATGACTTTTTCTCATTTTCAAGTGGGTGCAAATGCATTTTCAGTCGGGTGCAAGCCTATTTTCAAAATATCAAGTGGGTGCTGCACCCACTTGCTTTATTTAATGCTCGGGAAATCACTGATATGTATTTTTGTTCGTGCATGCTTTTTTGTTGTGCTTGCAATTTTGTCACTCCCTGTAGATCTGATTCTGCCTTTAAGTATCTCAAATCAATTTATTAGACTTGGTTGATATTTTTACATATTATTTCATTTTCATTTAATATTGATTATGTTGGCACACCCTATCATGACAAAGTCTTAAAACCAACCTCCTCTTTGACATTTCACATTTATAGCAAATTAAGAATGAGTTATCAATATGAAGAGTCTATAATTTCCAAGATACAGAGAGATGAGGAAGTTCTACACAGTCTTTGTTTGTAGGATATTATCGATTAAATGTTTTAAAACTTATATGTTTTTTTCATATAACATTGATGAACAATGTAAGTATGTTTTCTTACCCGAAAGCTCCTCGACTGATAGGCTTTAAAATAGTGAAGTCCTGGATAGTAGGTGCCTACAAGACAATCAATTTCAACTTCATTCAACTGTCATAAATTCAGATATAAATTACTTAGAGAAGGCCCTGATGGGTAGGACTATCTAAATACAGAATAAAATATGCTGGATTTCAAACATTTTTTGAACCAAGATAACAGGAGTTCTGTTTTGACCTCCAGTCAGTTTAACTAGTTCCACATACCATTTACATGACCAGGATCACAATGATGACCGTGGTCAGAATGACCCTACACATGATGAAATAACTTTTTCAGCCCTCTGAAAATGTGACTGAAAAATAGCTCATCGTAGGAGCTTAGGAAGGGTCACTGAACAGAATCTTTTGAATTTTTCGGAAACTAATTGAAAGCCCATGGTATGATCGAAAACAAAATTGGTTGCAAAGTGATAAGCGTTCAATTCCAACTGTTTGTATATGAATCAGTATTTCACACATAATTGACAAAAAAGTAAATAATCAGCTTGGTCCAAAAAACATATATAGGGGCACATGCAGTCATTATGTTGATGTAATAAATGCGTGCAAACTCCTGTGCAGTGATATATCACTGCGGCGGGCAGGTATCTCAACTTAAGCATGGTAACTTTGTAATAAACAACTGACGTGATTGGTTCTATAGTCAAAACAGAAATGTTTGTGACTACTTTGAATTTAAAAAATAAGCAATCAAATGATGCAATCTGAAATATACAAAAATTAGGATAAATATAAATGTTTCTATTTTTACATAAACTGTTTCAATATGGTCATTTGATTGCTTATTTTTTAAATTCAAAGTAGTCACAAACATTTCTGTTTTGACTGTAGTCCCATGCTCAAGTTGCGTGATTGTAAAATTGAAACAATTTCATTGGTTGAATTGCGCATATTAACTAATAAACAACACGTGTGGTAAACTATTATCAACACAACTTTTATTCAGAATTCCTTCCGCGGTTATATCTTCTCATATTTCAATAATTTTGAAATATTTTGACAAAATAATGATTGGGGAACATTCATGAATACATATTTTATAAGTTGTGTGAAAATTGACCACATATATGATGAAAAGGGTAAATATTTTCACCAAATGTCGGAGATTTTCTTCATCTGCCCGCCGCAGTGTCTATACCGAGACACTGCATGGCATAGATCCCGGCAAGATTATTTTGTAGTAGAATCAGTAGTTCAATTAATATTCCTGAATTATTCTTTCAGCTTATGATCCTACTACAAAACAATCTGGCCAACATCTGTGCTGCATGGGAGTTTGAAATCCGTGAACTAACAAAAAAAATTAAAAAAATTAAAAATTGACAATCGGCCTCATTTTCAACTCCATCATCTAATACTTTTACCTTTGCAGATTCTGACAATATCGATCCAGAACATGAACTGATATCTGAAGACACATTTTCTTTGTCTACTTTTTCAAAATCCATGGCTGATGTAACTATTTAGTAACAAAATAGTTCAAAATTATCGGTCAGACATTTTTGAATTTCCTTCCATTTTATGAGCTAGCGATTGTTTGCTTTGGTTATTTACGTAAAAAATTGAATGACTGATGATGAAAATCATAATTAAATTTTTAAAAATAAGCTCTAAATGATAATCAATATTTTTATCATATTTTAATTCATGTAATACAAGTGAAATGGTATTAATCGACCTTAGATAGTTTACGATTATTTTTTGGAATAAACTGTTGGCTCCCAGGATGCAACTCTTCTCCGCATGGCTTTAAAAAAATTCACATTTGGTTAAATAAATGCAAATATCTGTCTTATATTGGACACACGCGTCACAAATATAGGTTAATCTTACTATTTTGTAGTAAGTGAATGATATAGGGGACAGTTCGCTTTACTTCTATAATTGATCTTGAAGGAAAAATATTGGAAATATCTGGAATTTTTTCCAGCCAGTAAAACTCAACTGCATCGCCCACAGTGCAGTAGTAGCACACGTAACAGAATGAATTGGAGATAATCATTGTGACGTTTATTTAATTTTCAAAATGGAAGACGAGAGAATGAGACAGGCTAAGGCAGATTTGGACTATTTCCAGCAAATGTTGGATACGATTCCATCAAGAATATATTATGGAAAACAAAACCTTGAAAAGAAGAGGGAACTAGAAGAACAGGATGGTGAGAAAAATTGTTACTTTATGTCTTTCATGAGGCTAATGAGCTGTCAATAGTTCGCATGAATATTACTATTTCGATACATCACTTTTTTACATCACTATTTTGTCCTGTTATATCACTGTAAATCTTTCTATAGTTTACATCTGAGTAAATACGATCTGGAGGATAATTATAATTATCAAAAGATTTGCCTTGGGCTTGGACAACCTCCAAAAATTCACATTTTTTACCAGGCAAAGCTTGCCGACATTATTGAAAAGTTGTCATTTTACCACTTGTGAATACCCTAGGTGAGATTAGAGAGATTATTGCACTTGTCTTTGTATCGTTAATTATTTGCTTTCAGGTTCGTTAGATGTAGAAGCATTCAAGAAAGCGAAATTTGATCCAAGTCAGATCAAGACTGTGTCTCAGTTACAACACGCCAGTATAGAAACAACTGAAACCGCAGGTAATATATCTTCTTTTAGCTGGAATCCGCATATTTGTTACAGTCCATTTTTATATAATCAACTGTTATTGGATAATATAATATTATAGAGTATTTTCAATGACTTTATTCATAGGCTCTTGGAAGCCCATGCCGAAGTCTCAGGGTAGTTATCAAAAATTTACACCAAACAGGAAATGAAAAACCATGTAGATTTTATAAATTTTTGAAGTAAGATAACAGAGTTCTGCTTTTGTCTCAGTGCTGTCAGTAGGTTTGTCCAGGAGTGCATTCCTGGGACGGATTGATTGATTGATTTTCTGAATTTTTCAGAAAATGTGCCTTACATATTGCTTTAACTCTTTTGACTGGTAATTAGCAAATTTGTTACATACTAAAGTCGGTAATTAATTTCCTGAAAATTTGACAGATTTTATTGAAACAGTCATAACTTTTTAACTAGCAATCAGGGCCCCGTTTTTGTACCGTTCGTAGTAACGAACGTTCACAATTCGTAAATATTAAAAAGTTACGAATGAGTAATGAATTCGTAAAGTTGCGAATGGATCATTTTTGTACGCTTTCGTAAGTCATTCGTAACTTTCCAGTTGTTTAGAGTAAGATTTACGAATAGGTTGATGTCATATTCCAAAGTTGTCAGGACAGATAGTACAACAAACAGGGTTGATCAAAATAATAAAACCAAAGTCATACAATAATAACTTTATAAAAATAAAGATTCCATGAAAAGTACTAAAATAGATATAGAAATAGGCTGATAATACGTTGATAACGGTGTTGCCCTTTGTGTTCTCTGATTTAGAATGACAAAACGTCACAAATCACAATATATAAATGAATAAATAAGAGGCTGTTCGCAAAGTTACGAAAGGGTCAGAGGTGGTATTAAATCTACAAACGAAAACAGGCATGATGTCACTATTTTCGTAAATTTACGAATCGTTCGTAACTTACGAAATCATGATATCCATGAGGAAAATAGAATAAAATTAGATATGTAATAATAAAAATAAAATAATACCATCCGAAAATCCAAATTAAGTCATAATTTCCACCTCGTTTCATCAAGTATCGTTTTCACTGTCCAAATCATTAAATATTTGATCAAAATTGTCCTCAGTAGCCCTAATACATATAAGAGTTCGAGCTCTAGCAGCAGCCATTTTAAATCCCTTTTCTTTATTTTAAATAATATTAGAAGAAACATCGGTTTATTTTATGAAAAAGTCACAAAATATCATTTACTTCTTGTTACGTTTATATTTCGTTCTGTACAAACATAATCCACAAGGTTAGACATAGCCTGACATCTAGGTCAAAAGAATTAAATGATAAGACCTTCGAAAATTTGAATTCATTTCTAGAAATAGACAAAAAAAAACTGATTTGAAAAAAAAACTGATTTGAAAAGCTATCTTTTTCCTTTTTATGACCACAATTATTGTTTCAGACAATTTTCTAATTTGCAAAGCTCCTTTCATTTAAAGAAATATATTGGGCACATCTTCTGATTAATTCAAAATATTCTGTTCAGTGACCGATCGGAAATGCTAACTTTTAACTTTTTTCAGTCACAATTTCAGAGGACTGAAAGAGCTATTTCAGCATGGTAAGGGTCATTTTGAGCATGACCATTGTGATCCTGGTCATGTAGATAATATATTGGAGTAGTAAAACTGATTGAAGGTTGAAGCAGAACTCTGTTATCTTAATTAAAAAAAATTCTAAAATACACATCAGAAACAAGTCAAATTCTTTACTTCAGAGAATATTCTCTGAAGTAAAGAATTTGACTTGTTTCTGATATATTAACCAGAGAGATGAACTTACATAGAACTAAAATACACATGTTTTTTTCATTTCCTGTTTACCCTGGGACCTTAATCCAAGGTTGATTTTAAAAAGCTTGAAGATTTTGCCAGTGTCCTTTCTTTAAAAATAGTGTTTCAGTCGAATAACATGTGGATAATTATATTCTTTGGTCAAGTACTTAGTACTACAGCTGTACTTAACTAATAAATCTTGATATTTTTCATACTGACCCGGTCTCCAACTTTACGAAGCCTAAGAGCTGAATTAAAACATAAATCAAAATAAATAATACAAGCATGTACTGTACTGTACCCAAAGTACATGTAGCAGATATGATTTAAACCCAATTTTGATTTTTCAGGAAAAAAATCAAAGAAGAATAAGAAGAAAAAGAAGAATAAGGAGGCGCATGTTCCAAAAGCCAAGGTTGAAGAGAATGTAAAGAAGGTTGAGACATATAAAGATGATACTCTTGAACTATCCCCGCTAGCCAAATACTCTGACCTTCAGCAAAAGTTGCATGCTAAAATTGAAGCTCTGAGAGGTAAAGTATAAGCTTATGGCATTACGCTTACCAGCAAGTTTGTGAGAAATTGTAGTGAAACCCTTGTACATCTATTTTGCATTATAACTTTGCAAGAACCTTTAATAGCATAACAAACAGAGGATATATCAAAATATTATTTAGCACATGTATGTTTAATGTCTAGTATGAATCACATCAATGACTTGTTATTATAAAACAACAGATGATTTAAATATCATCCTCCTAAGCAGCTGTCCAGAATCCGTACCTCCTTCCCCCTGCTATAACTGAATCACGTGATCTTATTATGCGCAATGAATTATACATGATTTCTGTCGCAGTGTTAATCAGATTGTGAGTTCTTAATCGGGGAAATGCTAACTGCTTATCGCAGGGGGTAAAAAGAAAGAATATATTCTGGATTTTGAAGCCCTATGATCGGAGGTTGTTTAAATATAAGAGGAATTATCATCATCATAATATTAGTTTGCAAACAGGTAATGGGTTGACTACTAGTATTTATAACACCTTTTTATAAATACTTTGCTCTTTAATCATTTCAGGGAACAGAAAAAACACAGAAGAATGGAAGGAGAGAAAGAAACTTAGACGAAAAGAGAGTTTATTGAAACTGAAAATGAGACGGAAGGCCAATAAACAGAATAACCAGGAAAAGGGAACATCAGATATGCCTCCAAATGGTCTCAAAGTGCCCAAAGTTTCCAATAATAAACCAATTTACAACAGGGAGGGAAACATGGTCTTCAGCAAGTTTGATTTTATCGATAAAGGTGATCCAAACTCAGATAAAGGTAAAAAGGTTGGTAAGGACTATAAAAAGATGTTGGCCAATCTTGAACGAGAGAAAGAAAAAGTAAAGCAATTGAAAGAGACCAACCCGGAAAAAGCAAAAAAAGTTGAGGAAAAAACATTATGGAAAAGTGTACTTGACAAAGCATCTGGGGTCAAAGTTCGAGATGACCCCGAGTTGTTGAAGAAAGCTGTTAAACGTAAAGAAAAACTGAAAAAGAAGGGTGAGAAGGCTTGGACAGATCGCAAAGATAAAGTGCAAGATAGAATGGACAGAAAACAAGAAAAGAGGACAAAGAACTTGAAAAAACGTAAAGAGTCTAAAATTAAAGGAAAAATAGATAGATCTAAAAAGAAAGGCCATATAATTCCTGGATTTTAGATAATTATTAAATTAAATATCTAGCAGAAATAATACAGGAAGCTATTTTATTCCACATAATTTCAATACTATGAATTAAGATATATGTTGTAATAAAGGATTGATTATGTGACAAAAAATAAATGGAAAATAAATGCCACAGTTGATATATATGTGGAACTATAAATATTTTTTTTTTTACTTCACTGGATCAAATTGTGAGTGAGGTTACATATGAAATTACTGTATTATCCCACGAACAAAGTTTATGGATATTTAAGGGCCATAACTTATGTACTAGACTACTAGTTGTGAGATTTGGTAAAACATTTTGATTTGATTCTTTATAAGGGAAGAGGTTGTATTCTTGAGGAATTTTCAGATAGGCTACTAAACCAATTAATGGTCTCATTTTAATTATGCACCATTTAGAGGTTTCTGGGTTATTCCCCTGGGGAGAGAGTCGGGAATTTGTATCGCACCAGGGTGTTGGCTTTTGACATTCATTAAAACCTGTCTAATCATAAACGCCATTGGGACTGGCTAAAATTGTTCAGATAAGGAGGTGTTCACATTTTGAGGTTTTCACATTCACAAGATTCTGGATTTTTAAGAAATGTGAGCACATTCTCAATAAATATTTATAGTTCTTTTGACCACAACCCTTTAAATAGCATTCCTGTGATGTGATATTTTATGAACAGTGTTAAGATTAAACAAGTTAATTTCTCGAATATGACTTCATATTGAGAGGTGTTCACATATTAATGTGCTTTTTAACATGGGAGTTCATGGGAGGAAAATGGGAAAGATAAAAGTGTTCAGATTGGGAGTTTTCCGGATAAGTCAGGTGTTCGGATTTAAGTTTTACTGCAGTACTTTGTCGTCGTTTATATATCGTCGAAGGTACGATTTTTCTTTTTTCCCTTATTTCACGCGTTGTAGGCAGAATCCAGAAACGGTATGGGTTAAAAGAGCAATACCGTTTCTGTTACTTAAGTGAGGAATTAAATAGACTATTCTGTTGTCTTCTGAACTATTTGTTCGCAAATGTGTCCATTTTCTTAAACATATGATACTGATACACGTTTGTGTTAAAAATATCGTGGGAATTCTGCCTACAACATGTGAAATAAGGAACAAAGAAAAATCGTACGTACACGTCGCACGAAACTGGGGACAATTAGCGTAACATTATGGCGTCAAAGTACCAAGACAAAACAATGAGCAGCATAGGGCGCAAACAGCCTTACAACGTCAAAAACGACAAGCGTCACATTTTTGTCAAGTTTAGTCAACCTAAAAATAAAATACTTTATCCTCATCTAATCATGACAAAATTCACAGGGTAGCAAGATCTCGAGGACAATATTTCTAAAATGTTTTTGAATTTTTAAAAAAGGTCATGAAATCCACTTGGGGCGTTGGTAAAAATTGATATGTATGGAATTTGTGGTAAAAAATCGATGCGTCACATTTTTTCAAGTCTCGAAAACCAGCTCTTATTTTAATATTATTTGCAAAATAAACAAACTGGTTATTGTTTTCTAAATTTCGCCATGACAATATTGTGCAGTTAATTTTTCTTTCAAATCAGACTTGAATTAGAAGGTTAAATGAAGGTAATTTCAATTTCAATTTGTTTATTTCACAAAACACATACAATATACATATACAATGAGTGGGTGACACAAGGGTTTGTGTATATTCCCAAGATGGAGTAAATTTACAAAGTATGTTAGAGTGGCGGGGATCTGCCATTGCATGTCTTAAATAATATATATATATATAAAATTTGTGCCATCAAAGTGCCCCTAAATAGAATTAAAGTTGTAATAAATATTTTTTAGTCTGTTTTTTCATGAGTATGATGCTTCTGATAGATTTAAAATGTGGGGGTAATTGGTTCCAAATATCAGGTATAGAATAAGATAGCATTGATTTTCCATAGTTTGTACGGATTTTTGGTTTGTCGAAAGTTTTCTTGTTTCTTGTATCATAATTATGTCTATTTTCAACTGTTTGGAAGAAATTTGGAAATATTTGTTTGTAATTATCCTTGTCATTGATCCATTTAAACATGAATATATATCTTTGTTGCTTATTTATCTCAAATATGTTCAAGATTTTTAGATCATGAAAAAGAGGTAAAGAGTGAGCTCTAAAGTCGCTATTGTTGCAATTCTTACAAATTGTTTCTGCGAGCGATGAAGAGTATTAAGCAATGTACAGCCTGTTTCGCCCCAGATTATATTTCCATAAATAAGATATGAGTAGATAAGAGAGTAATATATACTAAGTAAGCTTTTGGCATTCAATAAATGTTTAACTATGTATAATATACCAATGGTTCTTGATATTTTCATGTTTACTGCTGTAATGTGATTCTTCCAGGTAAGATTCTGATCAATTATAATTCCTAAGAAGTTTATATGTGTCACTTTCTCAAGTATTTTATTATTCACAATGACTGATATATCATTTTTATTATATTGCTTTTGTCTAGAAGAAAATATGATATATTTAGTTTTCTTTGCATTTAATGAAAGTTTATTTGTGGCTATCCATTCCTCAATTAGTTTCAATTCAGCATTCAAAGCATTGGTAATTTCATTAAGATTTTTTCCTTGTATTAGCAGATTCGTATCATCTGCAAATAGTACAAAAAATAGTCGAGGAGAAGATAGGTAGATGTCATTGATGTATATGATAAAAAACAAGGGACCTAGCACAGAGCCCTGAGGAATTCCACATGTAATTGTCTCGGGATCTGAAATAGTGTCTATATAACAAGTTTTTTGAATTCTATTAGAAAAATAACTTTTTACCCATTCCAGTGCTACTCCTCGTATCCCATAGAAATCGAGTTTTTGAAAGAGGATATTATGGTCAATAGTATCAAAAGCTTTAGAAAAGTCAAGAAAAACCCCAATAGAGAATTCACCTTTGTCTATAGAATTTCTGATTTTTTCAACAAATGTAAGTACTGCCATGAATGTTGATTTTTTTCCCGAAAGCCAAATTGATAAAGATACATTATTTCTATTTTATCAAGAAAAGAGGTCAGTCGATGGTGCATAAGTTTCTCAAGTAATTTTGAGAAGACTGGTAAAATCGATATAGGTCTATAATTATTAAAAAGCTGTTTGTCCTCCTTTTTATGAATTGGTTTTATCTTCGCAATTTTTAATTTGTCCGGAAAGACACCATTTGTTAGAGATAAATTGAAAATATGTAATAATGGTAATTGGAATTCCTTACCACAATGCTTAATTATGGAAGGTTTGAAGTCGTCAAAACCGGCCGCAGAGTTTTTCAATTTTGATAATTCCACGTTTAATTCATTGGAGTCGATCGGATTCAAAAATAAAGTTGAAGCTTGTCTACCAATATTATTCATGTAGTCTAAAGGACTTTTGTTAGAAGGAGGAATCTTTGCTGCCAGGGTCTCACCTACCCTTGAAAAGAAAGAATTAAACTGATTAGCAATGTCTAATTTATTTGTTATTTCAGTATTATTATGGAAAAATGTGTCTGGGATATTGTGATTTTTATTTTTCCTTTGAAGAATTTCATTAATAATTTCCCAATTAGCTTTAATGTTTCCTTGATTTTCCTCAAATTTTCTGTTAAAGTAATGCTTATGGGCTGATCTTATGATATTTTTTAACATTTTAGAATAAACTTTATAATTTGCCTTATTTTGATTTGTTGGTGTACGAAGATATTTTTTATATAATTTACTTTTTTGTCTCACTGATACAAGAATTGCTGAAGTAATCCAGGGTTTTTCATTATTATTATAGGACTTAAAAGATACCAATTTGATTGGAAAACTTTCATCATAAATCTCTTTCAGGCGTTCTTCAAAAAAATTATAGGAAGCATTTGTATCATCACTATTCATTGTATCTGCCCATGATTCTCTGGTTAATTTTTCTTGAAAGGTAGTAAGATTATTTTCAGAGTATTTTCTAATTGATTTTTGAACAATTTTAATCTGCTGAATTGGTTTATTAAAAGTAGCAAAAATAGGGAAATGATCAGAAATGTCATTGAAAATTATTCCACATAGACCACTTTTAGTATCATTTGTGAAAATGTTGTCGATTAATGTTGCTGTACTTGAAGTTACCCTGGTTGCTTTATAAATAAGTGGTATTAAATTATAAGATAAGATTATAAGATGAAGGTAAACTTATTGCTCGTCCCATTCGCTTACAAAACCTTACACAATTTTGAAAATTTTAAAAGCGTTCATATGAGACAATTTGAACTGTAGCCGTTAAGCAATTGTGACGTCATAAATGAACATGTTCCATTGAATAAATTGTGAAATTTTAGTGGGATTTTGATCATTATTTCAAAAGTTATCCCAATTTCAACGAGCCCTGTAAGTGTAAAGTGTTACGTCTTACAGCGTATTTGACGATGTCGGGATATGTTTAACTTTAAAAATATGTTGGATCCCATCAAAATTTTGAAGAAAAAATAATTTCACTGAAATGCGAATAAAAAATACTTCAAAATGATATATAAAACACATAGCTAGCTTTTTAAATAAGGCAGAGATTAACGCTCAAAGCTGAAATCAGCCCGTATTTCCCGAATTGTCCCCAGGTCCGTGTACGTCATAACGGTCTTCGATGTTCCGACATTTTGTTATCGAAACGAACCGTTTCGGTAACCAGCGTAATCAAGTGGATCACCGGTGTTTATCGTAAACTCTCCGATAACAATCCATGCCATTATCTATTGTATGCTGAAAGATGCGAGATGCGTTCTTCTTTGCAAGAAAAAGTTGACATACATGTACTTGAAATTTCCAGACTTTTTACAAACGGATTCCTCAATATAAACCTAGGATATGCTCATTTTATTTTTAATAAAAAATTACTAAGCCCATGAAATTTATTTAAAAAGTTAACGTCAAAGAGCAAAAGTCTTTTCTGGGTCACCGCGAATGGCATGATTTCCTCGAGTCTCTTCAGTTGCAATGCAACCATACTGGGACCGAATCGCGTCGTTCCACTACTGCCCTTGGTGGGGGCCCGCTGCCATACTGTATGACTCCCGGGGTCTACTAATGCACGTTAGTGGAGGAACCAACCACAGTCTCACAATCTGTCTCCGACAAGAGCAGTCAGAGAACCAACCCATGCCAAGGGCCGGTAAACGGTTGGACCTTCGGACCGAGTGTCCGTAGTGCAATGATCAAAAACTCCGTACCTGGGGCTCGAACGCGGGACCTCCAAATCCCACCGGACGCTCAACCCACAAAGTAGTCCGTCTACGCCACGGGGCTACTTTGCTTAGGTGTCAAACTGATCGAAAATGTAATAGTTGTTATAATATTTTGCTTGGATGAACACAGACGTGGTTATAGGCCTAATAATCCTATTTTCTAAATCACGTTTATTTTGTAATCGAATGACTAATTATAAACAACAAATAGCTAACAATCTCCACGGCTTGCAAAGTTGCAACCGTCCTCGTATAAATGCCTCTTTCAAGAGTTTGGGAACGAATGAAGGGATTCCATTCGACACAATAATGTTTCTGAATCGAATCTAGACTGATGAAGATGAGCGAATGATGGATGTAACACAATAAACTTTAAAGCACTAACCAACATTTTCAGAGGCCTTAGTTAAGCTTTAATTCCCTTACGAACTCCTCTTTCTTTTGAAGGCACCCTTTTAAAATGGATTAAATACCAATACTCTCCTACATGAATCAACTTGTTAATGCTCGATCAACTTCAGTCCTTCCGAGAAAATGAGGATTTCCATTCCATTTTCAATAGTAAGAATAGGGGTCATTAAACAGGACATTGGGCTTGCTTTTTAGAATTTATTTTTATGTTAAAGTTGTCATATTTTTTTCTGTATACCCGGGGCTCAGATTTCATTCGTACCATTATCCAACTTCTTTGATAAAAAACGGATGCTCTCATTTTTGGAAATAATGATCTCAAAAGATAAAAAACGTTATCCATTAAAATGGATTTCTTTTTTATCAACACTTTTATTTTACAAAAATACTATTTCCCTTGACATTTAATGTACGCACGTGCGTACACGTAGTGCCTCAAATGACACCAATTAACATTGATGGGAACTTAATTTCTCAGCTTGAATTGTAGATAACTGTCTTTTCAGCCTCCACGAAACCCAAATTGGCAATACATGTGGCATATTTTGTTCAGATTTAACGTTTTTAAGCACTTGAAATCACCATATGCACTCAATGCTATACGAAATGAAGTTTTTTAAATCACAAAATTTTGATGTAAAACCACTAGTTTTAAATCTTATTCGCAAAATCTTGAAAAAATGCTGAAGGGACAGATATAAAGTTGAACGTAGCTAGAGGTTCATCGTAACATCAAGATTCATCTTCGAATATCTGAATATCTTCCTATGGACATAGATTTTTCATCTTGATAATTCAATTTCCCCGTCTAGTATCTACGCTTACCACATATCACAGAAATCAACAGAAAATAAATTATTTTGCAAAATGGCATTTATTACTAATTTATCCAGTCTTCTCTGGAAGACTAACCTACCCCAGACTCACAGTAAAACAATACATTATAAATAAACATATAGCATACACATAAATAGTAGTTTATATGAATCGATTTTGAAAATCTTGAAGTTATGGCTTGCACTATTGTGAGTTAAAACAAATATGGAATATACAACTAAAAGACAAAAACTGTCTCATTTTTTATATTTTCTCACTGGATCATTTTCTCCGATTTTCAAACTCAATTTCAATTAAATTACAGTCATGCAAATAAAACAAATAACAAGCTTACATTAAAGTTCACTCTGAAATAGAATTTCTGAACACCCTGTATTTTGTGAAATGAACAACGAAACTTATTACAGTACATTTGAATTCTGAAAGTTAAATTGAATGCAACTTAAAAATGAAAAAAACTTGCAAAAATCTTAAGCAGATTTCTTTGGGAAATCCCCTCTCCTCTGACCAACATCATTGTACATGTAATTATAAACAAACACAACCAACATTAACAAGCTACACAATTTCACATAACTAATTCCACCAACAACTATCACTGAACAGAGACAACACTTGAATATTCTATATAGCAAAAGTATAACATGTTCTAGATATGTGACAACGCTTGAATATTCTATAGCAAAAGTATATCATGTTCTAGACATGTGACAACGCTTGAATATTCTATATCAAAAGTATAACATGTTCTAGACATGTGACAACGCTTGAATATTCTATATCAAAAGTATAACATGTTCTAGATATGTGACAACGCTTGAATATTCTATAGCAAAAGTATAACATGTTCTAGACATGTGACAACGCTTGAATATTCTATAGCAAAAGTACTACATGTTCTAGACATGTGACAACGCCAGAATATTCTATAGCAAAAGTATTACATGTAATTACATCTAGATATGTAATGCATCTTAGAATAAAAAGTTTACTAGAAAATAAAGTACTATTGAACTTCATATACACATCAATGTATTGTTATTAAATCTTATATAAAATTGGACCACAAAATTTTACAAAATATTTTTGTATAAAAATGTTATTGGTATCAAGTCTTGCATACATTAATTGGACGGTTAAATATGCATAGGAAACATTGGACAGTAAAACTATAACTCTATAGCCGTCAAAGAGGCACACCCGCTCAAAGTTAAATATTGGCATACTTTTTCAAAACACAAGATGCTTAATTTTTTATTTAAGATCAGATCACGTGTCTAATCAAGCAAAATGATCTACACTGCTAAAAGTTAAGTTATTAATTATGGAATCATTTGCATGTTTGGAATGGTGATTAACTGGATGGACACAATCGATTCTACATTGAAATCATGGAATGTTAAGATCAAGGGGAAATTGCTTACTTAGTAGGCATATCAAAATGTCTTGGTGCTTTGAGACTTTTTGTTTACCTATTTCCACCAAATTGGGAAATGAAATTATTTTTGTATACAAATGACCTAGTCTCTCTAGTCCCTTACACATGTAGTGCATACATTCAAAGTGAAATGTATATACTCCACCTAATACCAGCGATTAAAAATGGAAGATTTGAACTCATTGTGAAAAATAAATATGGCATGATCATTTTCACAAGTTCACATTCACATTGACTTACATAAGTTTCATCATTCAAAAACATTATATCATTCATTCAAAAACTGTTGGACAGAAACTCACAAGAAATATAACCTGTAGTGATTTTCTTTAAATCCTTATTAGCAGAGTCCAAGATTCTCTATCTTATCCTGTACTGTATATACACATTGGCACTTGTATGAGTGTATTTCGGCACTTGTATTTCACCTGTCAAAATATCAATGTATTCTTAGTGAACGTAATTAAAGGTCCCATGTCAACTTTTAAAATATGTTTTTATTATTCATTTACTATTTTTTATGACTAAAAAAGTTATTTAGAGATTTTTCACCTCTAAAATTTAGTTTTAAATAAATTCATGATTTTTGAACTAAAAGTGGTTTTAACCTTATATGGGGCCTTTAAATAAAGGTATGTTCCCACTCCCCTCTCTGATCCAATCATAAAATAACAGTGTAAAATGATTTACTGTGTCATTGTTTTTTAGTTGAACATAAATATCATTTTACAATGAGCTCTCTCTTATTAATAACTTTTGTATAACGTATGACACATTAATATTTTGACCTTGGGCTTTTATGCTCAATAACTTATCATGAGTCTAAGCTATTTCTACATTGCACATTTCCTCTCTAGCAGCTGTCTTTAATCTAACTAGAACTCACTAATAACTGCCTCATTTTCAAAAAATGCTTCCTTATAAGGAGAGTACATTGTACAAATTCTGCAATTATCATTCAATAACGCTCAAAAATTAGAATACACTTTTGAGGTATTCTACAAATGTCATACATTTTCTTGAGATTTTCTCCTTGAAATCGCTCTAGAAATAACCTTATATGGAATATAGAACAAATTCAGAGTTTCTGTCCAAGGATGAATGGATGTTGTAAAAGTTCATCAGCAGAGGGTCTTGTATTCTGATCACGGGTTAACGTTGAGTTGACAAAATCTTGGGCTTCTAACGTGAATGTCTCTGGGAGTCTCGGCACTGGTTTATCGCTACCTATGGCAAATATGGCCGCCATTGGAGGCACGTTGGACCATGGTGGCTTCCTGGTGGCCATCTCAAACACAGTGCAGCCAACACTCCTACAAGTACACAGTATTTCCTCGTATTATGTCTACATAAATGTTATCATGATATTGTATACTACAGTAACATTTCGTTTTTTTCAACATAACATCAAGTTGACATGATATATTTCAGAATTTAAAAATTGCATCTAAATTCTACATATTTAGAATAGGCCCATCTAGGAAAAGGTGCAAAAGGACCAAAATTACATGTATAATTGAACCTAGCAAGAAAAAGTGTTTTAGAACATGTATTGTTTCATTTCACTTTATTAAAACATCTTAATTTGTATAAATTCAGTTGTAGAATTAAACTGTTAGCACCCAGTGAGTGGTTAACCTACTAACCATATATCTGATTTCTTCCCATGACCGGTCTCATTTACCACCTCGGGAGCCATCCAATAAGGTGTCCCTCGCATGGACTTCAACACAGATGTCTGGCTTATAGAGAGATTGATACAAAGTTTCTTAGCACATCCAAAGTCTATCAGTTTTATCACACCTGGAAAGTGGAATATATAATACGTTTCAGAAATGTTACGCATCAGAGAATTATACTCCGACAACATGCAGCGAGAATATCAATGTTACACTGTTACTGAAATCTGAGACATGAAAGAATTTTATCGTGATGTATCACTTCTATCACTCCTGCTTTCAGATATGTCTCATGCAAGAAGATAATTGCTCTGATTATTTGCGAAAACTTATATTTATGGAGATTCCTTTGTATTTATTTCAAAGTTTCAGATTATTGTAATAAACTATAATTGTTTCTGGTCCTTGATTAGCTGGAGTATCTCACAACTTAAAATTCAATGAGAAAATTGTCCACTAGGGAATATTGCCCATTTAACTATTACACTGGGACAATCTAGTTTACTCCTAACAGTCAGATCGTGATTATAATGCCCTATTAATAAGCAGGCATAAATATTGTTATAACAGTATATAGATAATGAATTTGAATAAGGTCATACCAGTAGGCATCAACATAATGTTTCCTCCTTTGATGTCACGATGAATGACATTGTTGCTATGGAGATATTGGACCCCTTGCAAGATCTGCTTGGTGTAAATACAGAAGACAGCTTCCTCAAGGGCGCCAAACCTGGCCAGTAGATTAGCCACAGAGCCCCCAGGCACGAACTGCATGAAGATACTGACTGTGTGCTCCTCTAGTGTTGTACCTAGGAATCTGAAAAATAAAAAGACTAAATTTGGAGACAATGTAAATGTGCCTAAAGGCTTGGCTTGAGGTGAGGATATGTGACTTTTAATTCATTTTTATAATATTATTAAAATTTCAGAGAGCCTGAGTATCATGGTGTGGCACTGGAACCCACCGGTGGGATATGCTATTCACCCTGGGCTTAATGTTCCATAATTAATATCCTGGCTATATCACTTTAAAGATACATGTAGCATACACAGTAAATCATGTATCAGTGGAACATCTTTGTCATCTCTAAAGTGTTCCACTTTGAATGTGTTCTACTTGCAGAAGTTTATTCAACAGTGAGTCATTTGGTCATGCAACTCTGAAAAGTGTTCCACTTGCGAAGTTGTTCCACTTACAGAGGTGTTCCACTTAACATGATTTACTCTACTCTTGTTCCACAAAGTTCCACTCACCCCACAATATTCTCATGTCTGAGTGTCTTAAGTAGTTCCACCTCTTCCTGGATCTTCTCGTATTCTCTCTCAGCTTTGTCCATGTCCGATGTATTCAACTCCAGTTGTTTAACAGCAATCAACTCACCATTGTTGGTGAGGCCACACCAGACCTGCAAGATAGTTAATACAGGGTTTCATAAGCAATTTGTAAGAAGTTCTTTCTATGGCCCAGGTTTTACCAAAATCACTCATTTTGAGGATTGCAACTCCTCAAAGTTAAAACTATAATTTATATTATTTCTGTAATTTCTGTTTATATACATTAATGGGAAATTAATCAAAATAAAAAAAACATTTAATTTTGTAAAGACCTGGCTTTTTCAATAATATTAACAATATCTTCACTCAAAAAATAGACATTCTATTAAAATGAAGTTATACACTCACAGTTCCAAATGCTCCCTTGCCAAGCTGGTTTCCTTTCTTCCAATTGATAACCTCTTCAATGTCAGAGACATTGGATGCAACACTGGCTGCTCTCGACTGAGGGGCACTGCGCCTGCCAAGCCTACTGGTGTACATCTGAAAATGTTTCAACATTTAAAGTGTGAATTCAATGCTGGCAGTATTGCAAACAATTAGGGGAGGCATCAAAAGTTCGAATCCGGATCGAAAACTAAATGAATCTAGTAAGGGGGGAGGGGGGTTCAAAGCCATTTCAGTTTGCTATCCGACAAATTTCAACATGCCTTGGAATGGTTTAAAAATAAAGATTTTACCTGATGATTTCTTCGTCAACAAAAAAACTAGATCGTTTTGGAAATAACTTTTCAAATTCTTAAACCGGAAGTCAGTGATCAACTTTCATGGTATTTAGTTTTGAGGGGAGGGGGCGGGTCAATGTCAAAACTAGATTTGTTTAGTTTCCGAACTTTTGATGCCTCCCCTTAATAATGCCATTTTATTGTGAAATTCGCATTTAAGATCTTGGATCACCCTGCGTTCAAATGAATGCAATTTTAAGCTCCTTTGATATTTTCTCTCAAAACTTGGGCATTGTGTCCAACATATACATAATAATCATCCTTGCAAGTTTTTTAATTTGTCAGTATTATTTGTTCTAATTTTAGTAAAAATAAGTTAATGGCTAAAGACTTTCGCTCGAGAGGGTACATATATAAAGGAACATACCCTACTATCTGGAGAGTTCTCAATGGCATCCACAACAGTCTTTGTTAAAGTTTTTTCATCTACTCCGGGATCTATACTCTCTGCAAAGCTCAACCAATCAGAATGGAACTCAGTATTCACTGCAGCAGTTGGTGAGTGATCAGAACCCTGAAAGTAAAAAAATAATTATTAAGTTAGATTTTTTAAACAAATTCCTTTCAACTACAAAATGAAGTATTTCATGAAGATTTTATTCACTTTGTCCATTAAGTTAGATTTTGTAAACGATTTCCTACTTTTACAAATATTCACAATTATTTGTCAGTTCAATAAAGTAATTTGTCAAAATGTTATGGGATATTTTCAAATTGCAAAATTACTATGTTCAATAATTTCTGAGCTAGCTTTACAATGTTATTAAGAAGCAGTGATTTTACCTTTGAAATATTAGACAAATTTGATGCACTCTCTAGTTGTATCTTAGGGCCGTTACTAGAAGCACTTTTAAGAGTTTGTATCCTTCCTTTATGTTTCCCCTTCTTCCCTGTTCCTGACTTGGGAGGTGAGATACGTTTGCCAGAAGGTGGTCGTTTAATAGGGAGACCAGTCGAGTGAGTCGGAGATGGGATCTCCTCATTTTCAATTTTGAGAGCCATTTGCTTGTAGCTATGAAGTACCCGAGCTAGTCCAGCTTGCTCCTCTTCAGCGGTCAACTGTGAGTAGCTTTTACCCACAAGACTGGGTACAGAGGAATCCTCTTGGGTTATCTTTGGGGAGTGGCCTTTGTTAGACCTGGGGGTTGAACTCTTAGAGCTTGACGAGCTTCCACTGCTCACACGACGAGGACTAGATTTTGCACTCCGTGGCAAAGATGGACGTCTTGGGGTGTGAACCCCTGTTGGATTATTCCTATTTGGGGACTGTTTTGTTGAGTATCTACTGCTGGAGCTAGAACTGATGTCATTACGATCTTTCAGGTGCATTGTGTTGAATAATATCTCATCAATGACACTGTCGATATCTTCATCATTCTTCCGCTTTCTCTCTCCGTCGCTTCCGCTCTCACTACTAGCTAGGTCTAACTCCTTAGCTTTATCAGGTTTACTACCAGCAGCATGTTCACCAGGGCCTTCCTTGACAGTTCCTGCAGATTGCTTCAGTTCTTGCAGCCGCCGGGAGAACTGAGAGCTATCCATTTTGGTACCACTTGATTGTCTGGAAGCTGCACTGCTAAGACTAGAGCTAAAGACGCTATCACTGGGTGATTCTGGTATTGTGTCAATGCTTTCCTTACGTTGGAGGATGTGCCTAGGGGAGTTCCCATGGGGACTGGTTTTGTTATTTTGATCAATAGTATGATGTGAATGCCTTGGAGAGACCATTGGAGAGTGCCCGGGGGATTGTAGTTTATCATTGTTATTAGCCGCAAGTTTAGCTGTTTGTTCGTTGACAATCTGCAAGATATTGGCTTTTGTGACAGAGTCAAATCCTAAGGAGGACATGGGAGATTTAAAGCTATCTGTGCTGTATGAGAGATCGTCAAAGTCATCACCTAGGAGTTGGTTCAATGTATCATCTTTGACAGATTTGGCGAAATCTTTAATGGCTTGAAGAGTTTGTGGGATCAGTGTAGGCATGTCATCTAGTGGGGTACCCCCCAAGGCTTTCCTCATTTCTCGTTGTAAAGCACGTTGGAACTTTTTGGCCGATGGCGGTCTCTTTATATTAAGCGTGTTTGGACGTTTTGCTGGTTCAGTGTCATTATCAACTTCATCATAGTCAATTCTCTCAACTGCGGTCTCAACAGCTGGTGCCTCATATTCTTCATCATTTCTTGGTGTGTCATCCTCTGACATGTTATCAGGATCGATTACTTCAATGTCAGGGTTTTCGTTACATTCAGTCGATATATGCCAACCTATTCCACCAATCAGAGCCATTTTATCATCATACTTGATTGTACCTCCATCGTCTAGTTTTTTCTTTTTCTTGCCCTTTGATTTTCTTTTGGCTGTCTTGGGTCTTTGTTGTTTCTTTGATTGACTAGCGACTGCATCAGTTGATTTTGTGACTCTCTTTCTTGTTCTCTCCGCAGATGCTGGTTTACCAGAATCTTTGGAAGTTTTACGTTTCGCTGCACTCTTGTTACGACATTTCGGTATATCTTTCCCCTTTACCATTAAAGATTTCTCTTTGGATTTGCGTAATTTTTCTTCCTCGATTTGTCTGGTGATTTCACGTTTGAGATGTTCAAAAGCATCTTCAATGACAGGTCCAGTGTGCTCAGGTTGCGGCTCCACTTTATGCTCTAGGATATTAATACTGACTGTTTTAGGTAGATTTTCAGCGCTAGTGTTATCCTGGTCACCGATATTGAACTCCATAGTTTTCAACAATGTTGGGGCCTCATTTTGATCTTCTGAATAACTCAATGACCTACGAACTGGAGTCTTATTCAGAGACTCCATAATAGGCACATTTGATGTTGAAGAGGATTTCTTCATGCTACGATCCCCGTAAGAAGTTTGAGGCGATGAGTTTGTACCCACATATTGTTCTTTACGAGGCGACACAGATTTGGTAGGAGTAGGATCAGATTTTGTAGGGCGAGCAGGGGCCTTGGTGATCATTTGCTGATTTTTCTCATCTATTGGGGCAAGTTGTGTCGTTATACCTTTAGCATTTTTAGTATTATTATTCCATTTTGGCCTTTCCTGTGATGAAACCTTTTGAACAGAGACTTTATTCTTTTTTATTGCACTATGTAGACCACTCCCTGGCTTCAATGTTGCAACATTTTGGCAAGATTCTTTAAGGTTTTCACCTGATTCAGTTGTACTGTCTTTTACCTTAATGTCAGGTTCAACTGCTTCTGTCTTGTTAGTGGCATCATTGAGCGGTGCTTTCTGTTGTGATACCCTTTGGCCAGAGCTTTTAGGTTTCAAATCTAATGCTGGGGTTGATGAGATCTTAGATTTAACTAAAGTGTTTTTAATTCCCTCTGGTTGTTTTTGGATTGAACTTGAATTCTGAGATTTCTGTCCCCCTCTCAGTACATCAGAATGTACAGCGATTTTGTCTCTTCCAGGACTTGATAACGCATCAGAGGGTCGAGTCTTTGCATTGTCTTTGATTACTTTTTGAGCTTTAGCATTGTCCTTTGCAGCGTTCAATAATTTAATAGAGGCACCCTGTAATTGAGATCCAGCCTTTATTACAGGCTTTTTGGTCACAGGTTTATCTCCGGCATTCTTTGATTGCACCATTGGTTTGAATTTACTTGTTGGAAATTTAAGTCCAATATTAAACTTGCCAGGGGGGACTTTGCCAACAGGCGCAGCTACAGGAAGTGGGGTTACATTAGAGTCGAGACCAAGCTTGTGAACAGTACTTGAACTCTTCGTACCCAAACCACTGTCAATTGAGCTCCTTTCAGTGTTAAGTATTCTCTCTGAGGAGGATGTCACTACCCCTGGGCTGACTCGATCCCCACCCCCAGAGACAGGAGATGGTGTAGACAGGGAGCTTACACTCGATTCTAGGCTACTACGAGTTGATTCTGTTCTACCATAAGTGTTCACCTTAAGATTCATAACTCTAGAGTCTTCTATATTAAACTCCTCTTTTAACAGAGATTTCTTCCTGAGCAGTTTGTGTTGTTTATTAATGGTCCCTTTGAAACCCTTAGCAACAGCTCTTGGAGAATCATCTTCTGACCTAGGTGAGCTCTCCTTAGAGGAGGTATCAGGGGATTGATCATTTTGAACTAAGCGACCATTGTGGAAACTGTACTCTTTCTGGGATATGAAAGATGTTGGACTAGGGAGTAGTTTCTTAGAGTTAGGATAGATGGCACTATCTACTCCATCTTGCATTTTTGTTGGATCACCTCTGCTAAGCATTTGATCTGAAATGACAAGATGACAAATAATTAAAACAATTATGTAATAAAATTTACAGTGCAATAAAAGATAAAAGAATTATTAAGCACTACATTCTTAAGCAATTCAGTTCTTTTCTCTAAACCAAAACAAATTATATAATTTAGTTTTAGATCTGAAGTGACTGAAATATTAAGTCATTGGATTCCATATACATAAATAAATTATCACAGCAAGAGCAGCTGCAAAAGTTACATTTTTTCATCATCCTGCGTGGATATTAATTAAACTCCCAACTTTTTCTGATTTTCCATAATCTAAGACAACATATTTTAATGGACATTAAACTTGATATAAAGCAATTCTCAAAAGTCATGCTTAAAAGATCACTACCATGCCACTTACCTAAATCCAATATAACCGATGTACCCATTTTTGCCTCTTTGTGTTCCTGTATTGTATTTGGAATGTTGATACGGGAACGTTCTGAGGCTGAAGGTATTCTTAGGGGGGTAAGGCGTGGTAGGGGAGAAAACTGGTCCTCAAAGTCGTCCATGCTTAATCTAGACCCTGTTGCTGAAATTAGGAATTATGTTTAAATAAGTTGTTAGATCATTTCATGTTATTAGAGCATTTTAATGATGTTGATGGAAAACATGATTTTCAAGAGAGTCTCCTAAAAATCAATATCTTTCTAGATTATAACTTGATAAAACTAAAAGTTTGTGTTTTGAAGGTTGCAAACTGGTAAAAAGTTTTTCATTCAACAAAATTCGATGTTTTGTCATAATGCACAAAGACACGATCTTACTCTTTATGCTGTATTATTGTTTGTACCAGGCATGTAGCCAGAATTTTCCAAGGGGGTTCACCTTTTCCAAAAAAATCTAGGGGGGAGGGGTTCACTTTGGCAAATTTGGCCAAAATCACTCAAAAAATAGTCAGAATGGTGAAAAACTTCATGATTTTAAAATAAATTTTGGTTCACCCGAAACCCCCGGACCCCCTGGCTACGGGCCTGTGTACCATCACCAGCATTAAAGTAAGAACAGAGTGGATGATGTCTGTAGACCTGAGTATACAAAAATAATGATCTACATATAACAGAGACATTAAATAATGAATATGTATCTATTTACCTTGCATGGCTTCTTCATAAGAGAACCTCAGCTCATTAAGAAATGGAGAATCATACATTCTACTTAAACTTGCATCACTAAGAGCTGATGAAGAATAATTCTGCAGCAGTCGCCTAGCCCTTAAAGTAAATCAATGTTGCATTTTAAGTAAATGTTAGCAGGCCATGGATTCCAATCGAGAAAGATGGTCAAGACTGAGAGGTTCAAGCTGTTCCCCTGAGCTCAAATTCCGTTACCTGGTTCGGAAAAAAGGTTTGTTGGAATCATTTTGTTCCAGACACTCTCTAGAGTAAATTTATCTTGGGTGGAGTAAAAATGTGTGGTAAACGAATTATTAACTGACCTAAGTTCTGAGAGATTTTCCTCCAACTCAAGTCCCATCACAGAAACAGGAGGAAGGCCCTCTCTGTCAACATCGTCTGAGATTCTTCTAGGAGGGTCAGCTACAAATATATCCAATATATACACATTTACAATAATGAATGTTCCACAACTGTGGTCTAAGTGCACATAAATTAAAGGCTACCAATTAAAGAACACATGGCTCCTCTGGGTGGGGTTTCTGGGTCTGTCTTCTAGTGCTATTTCGATAAATGTTAATAACCAAATTAAATTATACACTACTGTACTAATGGAGTTATGATGTATAGAGATGGTCTCATGGTTATGTACATTTGGCGCTCTTCTAATGTTTACTGACAGATACATTGTACATTTTTTGCATCTTTGACGAAAATAGGTCATATCAGAGTCTATAAGGTTTAAATAGCCATAACATCAAAGCAACTTTTTATAATACTAACTCTGAAATACTTACATATTCTATGCACAAGTTTTCCCGGAGATTTCATGTTCATTGTATTCTCTAACTGTACCATATCCACCTCTTCAGTGCTGCGAGGTAATCTCCCCATAGAGATGCTTTTCCTAGGGGACAAGCCGGCCTTGAGGGGGTTGAGGCGATGCTCAGGGGTAGGGGGTAGCCTTGGGGTTGAGGACGTTGACTTGGGGGTGCGAGGTGGCTGGGGAGGAAGGGTCCCTAGAACCCTAGTCCCACCCTGAAGACGAGTTTTAGTACTCTCCCTTAATTGAAAAAAAGAAAATTAAATTCAAGATGAAATCAAAATTCTTCAGCTGGTTTTGTGTTTTTTTATATACTGTTATATGAAAATTAAGAGTTGATGATATTACTGTTACTTAATAAATCAAGAATTTCAAATGACAATATTTTTGAAAATAAAATAGAATATTCAACTTACAAAAAATTTAAGACAATGGCAGTCAGAATATCAATTTCATTATCAATCATTACTGGATGAATATCTGTTCATTATATCTACTAATATGCCATCTATATTACATTTTTCTGGTTGTAGACTGCTCAGTCTAAGTTTAGGATTTGACATTTCACAAGAAAAGTGACATCAAAAATTACTGTCTGACTAAGATGCCTTACCTAGCGAGTGCAGGTGTTGAAAAGATGGCACCACCTGTCTGTTCCTCCGTCTGCTCTGCTAATAACACTCTCTCCTTTTCACTCAAGGAGCGCAGACGTTTCAATTCTATACATGAAAAAAGTTCAAATGTATTTTAGGCATATTATTTTATTGTACTAATACTGAACACATAATTGTACAATAAGAACAAAGAATAAATGGATAACTAGAAGATTATTAATTGAAAAATACAGAGATGCAAATATGGTTGCCCATACATGCATTGCACCCCCTATACCCTAAATATACCCCATATACTTAAAATGAACTACAATTGAGATATTTGAAACAAGATATAATGGTCTTGTTTTCTAAATAGATTTTTTGACAAGATAAACCAGAACAACGGCAACGCCAAAGCGTAGCGAATCCCATCGAACAGCCATGGATGGCATTTTTACAAACAAAGTATATAGCAAAAATGGCAGCCATTTTTCAAAATGGCCGCCTTCTACCAAAAGTGTCATTAGACCATGTGCCATGCTTATAGTATTCACATACCAAATATGAACAAAATCGCTCTACTACTTTTCAAGTTATAGTAAAATACGATAAAATGGCGGCCATTTTTCAAAATGGCCACCTTCTACCAAAAGTGCCATTAGACAGTGTGCCGTGCTTATAGTATTCACATACCAAATATGAACAAAATCGCTTCACTACTTTTCAAGTTATAGTAAAATACGTTAAAATGGCGGCCATTTTTCAAAATGGCCACCTTCTACCAAAACTGCCATTAGACAGTGTGCCGTGCTTATAGTATTCACATACCAAATATGAACAAAATCGCTCCACTACTTTTCAAGTTACAGCAAAAATCGTAAAATAACGAGTAAAGGCCGCCATTTTTCAAGATGGCTGCCATGTGCTTCTTTAATATCTACATTTCTAGCTTTATTAATGTCCTATATAATTTTTTTACATCTCAAACATATTGCTATTACAGTTTTACATATTGCACCTAAATTACTATAAATTCGGCACTAAAATGGCCGCCATTTTGAAATGAGCGGCCATTTTGAAAATCGGCTTTCGAGCAGAACTTCTAACCTCATAGGGTATATGTGTACAAAATATGAACAAAATCGGGCCAACGGTATTTGAGTTATTGCCCGGACGTACGTACGGACGGACGGACGTACGTACGTACGTACGGACGGATGGACGTACGTACGTACGGACGGACGTACGTACGGACGGACGGAGGCGTTCCCTATATCCCTCCGAACTTCGTTCGATGGGGTAATGATTACCTAATCATATTAGACTCAAATATTATACTCAAGTGTCTTGTTTAAGAAAATATGAGATGATCTTGTTTATAGTGACATAAAAGGTTGATAGCTCAGAAAAAGAATGCCCACTTACTTCTAGGTGTTAGACTCTGGACTAAAGTTGTTGATGGGAGAGACTGAAAGATGAACAGAGTACAAGATTAGATCATGCTATCAAACCATATAGAACACCTTGCTGGATCAAGAAGTGATTAGGAAAGAAATTCAGAAAATAACATGCATTAATTTATGAAAATTATGTCTGTTTTAGTGCTATTTAAAACTTGTATACATTTACCAGGCCCGTAGCCAGGGGGGTTCGCAGGGTTTGGGCGAACCCCCCCCCCTGGCCAAAAATTCTTTCAAAAACATGCAGTTTTTCACCATTTTGAGCCAAATATTTGGACCGAAATTGTCAAAGGTGAACCCCCCTGTAAATTTTTGAAAATTGAACCCCCCTTGGCAAATCCTGGCTACGGGCCTGTTTACTAAGTAACCATATGAAGTCATTCGTAACAATCCCATTCAATCATTTGCTTACTTCATCTAATCTTTACAATTCAATATTCCAATATCCAATCTAAAAAGAATGAAAACTCACATCAAATATGACTTCTCCCTTCATTTTCTTGACAGGTTTGAATTGCTTATTTTCCTCAGATAACTGTCTTTCTCTGCTCCCCCCTCTACTTGGGATCCTCACTGGTGCAAGGGTGGCCTCTGGCTTCTGCTGGGTGGCCTCAGTCCATGCCTCACGCAATACAACTTTCACCTGATGTGATAATATAGAATGTATAGAAAAATTCAATACACAGTTAACAAAATGAATGTAAGTTGATTTTTTTAAAACTGTTCCATTTAGAATGGTTCTCCATATAGAGAGAAGTTCTGTCTGACAGTTTTTTTTATTATATATATATAAGATTCAATTAAAACACACCTTCTCCGTATAAAGTATATCAACCGTGACAAACCATATATCGCAAGTTCATTGACCAATCAGCTTTTGGCATACCTTTTTAGTTTTGGCCACATCAACTGGTGTAAGGCCGCTATCGTCCACTAGCGTAACATCAGCACCTCTGTCCAGTAGGGTAACAGCAGCTTTCTCATGGCCGTTGTAAGCCTATGACAAATGAGATAATCATGTTTATCAAAATATATTTATTACAATCAAAGCTTTTTTATGACTATTGTATGCCAACATTTATGCATACCAAGTTGCATGACTATGATACTTTACTCAAAATCTAATACTTTACTCAAAATCTTAAAATTTACTCAAAATCTAATCCTTTACTCAAAATCTAATACTTTACTCAATATCTAATACATTACTCAAAATCTAATACTTTACTCAAAATCTAATACATTACTCAAAACTTATAATTTACTCAAAATCTAATACTATACTCAAAATCTATTTCAGAATCTTAATATTTGATTAAGTTTAGGGACTGATATGAGGCATGTTATATAAAATTGATTGTTCTAACTGATTCTTATTATAAAAAACAAAAATATAGCCTATAATAGGAAAATATAAATGTACATTTCACCAGTTCAATAGCAAAAACTTACAGTAATATGTAATGGCGTCGTTCCTGCAAAGCCTCGAGAGTTTGGATTAGAACCTCCATCCAGAAGAGTTAGGACCACGTCAACATTGCCAATTTGACTCGCTGAATGGAGAGGGTGGAAACATCTGCGATCTCCCATTGCTGGAAATGTCACAATTATTCAAATATATTATATAAATATAAATAAGAGCTCAACAGATAGCAATATCAGGTTAGTTACTTGTAAAATGTAATAACATATCACGCATACTATGGATGCAGAAGGTGGGGGTTCAAATCTCATTTGGATCTTCTTTTTTTCGTTTTTTTTAAAATCTATGGTTGTGATTTGATATTACATTAATAAAAAACAGTTTCAGATTAACCCAAACTAAATATTAAGGCATTTCTAATCCTCTCAGGAGTATGAAAATGTAAAAATAAAATATGTGAAAATATTGCTTTTTAAAAATGATCCCACTTTAAGAGAAAAATTATTACTTATCGAACAACCTGAATGATCAAACTTTCACACAAAAACATCAGCATATATAACGAGAATACAGCAACTCCACGGAGTAGCAAATCCATCACCTGATATTTGAGTTATTTTCCGAAAAATGGTGGCCATTTTGAAATTCAGCAGTCATCTGAATCAATAAAATTTGAACCAAATCCAACAACTGGTATTCGAGTTATCAAAGATTATGTTTTTACGACAAATGGTGGCCATTTTTAAATTTGGTAGCCATCTTGAAAATGTCTTCTTCACCAGAGATCCTTTGTCTCTAGGCATCAACATTTTGAACCAAATCCATCCACAGGTATTTGATTTATCAAAGATTACATATTTTTACCAAAAATGGCTGCCATTTTGAAATTTGGTAGCCATCTTGTTTTCTTGAGCGTAGCTTTTTTGTCTCTAGGCATCAGCATATGAAACGAGGAGGGAAAGTATCACAGATACAGATTTCAGACAGTCATATGCCAGATTTGGGCTATTTTCTTAGGATTTAAACAGGTGCATATGTTAGGCCAATGCATTATCTCATTATTTTTTAGGAAAAATGGCGCCCATTTTGAATTGAGTGGCCATATTGAAAATTCCTTTTCGAGCTAAGGTCCTTCACTCTTAAGGCATAAGCCTATAGAATTTGAATCAAATCCGTTGACTTGTTTTTGAGTTATTGCCCGGACACACAAATGGACAGACAGACTAACAGACAGGCGGACGAACAGCTTCTCTATATCCCAGTCGTTTGTTGGGATAGTTACAGTGGCTAATTGAGAAACATATATATGTTTTTTAGACTTATATCTAATAGTACATTTTTATACTTCATCTTGAAACATTTTTGGGATTAATGCTATTTTGATAAAAATGTTGAGTATTAAAAGCAGTATACATGTATATTAATACTAAAATTAAATAAGTTTTAAAAAGCCTGTCGTTGAAAAACATCAACGTGACTCAAATCACATGATGGCTGTTTTCAATACAGACTTTTGAGCATAACTTGTATTTATACGGGATATGGGATTTTCTGATAAATACACACTGTAAAACACGTTACATTTGCAATCTAAGCAATTTTCGCAGACTTGTGCATTTGTTTCTTTTCTCATATTATGTACTGTTTTCACAATTTTTGCAAGAACCTCAATTTGTGCCTGTATACAAGTTTAAATATGTGTCTTCCTCAATTCAAGATTTTACACTCAAGTGAATATACGTGAATATGTCTGCGAATGTTATGTGTCAGTATTACATTGAGCAAAACCTGTTCTAAATGTCACATTGCCTGATCTTTTAACTATTCAATTCTAAATTGAGTAAACATTTTTGTATACACTCTGAGTAAACACAAAAGGATTTGAAATATTGTGTGTATAATTTACAAAGTAGAAACACACTCAAAACTTTTGAGTTTCATTTCAACATATTTTTTTCAATGCTATAGAGTTGAATTCTATGAATAGCTATGTTTTAAGTTAGAAGGAAATACATTTAGTAAAGTGGCAAGGAGGCTAAAATGGCAGCTGCTAAATCATTTATTGAAGAATATACCGAACTGTTGATGTGTCCTATATGTCTAGACAAAGTAAAGACACCAAAGTCACTGACATGCCTACATTCATTCTGTGAAGGATGCCTAGATAAATGGATTCAAACTGAAAGGGACAGTAGAAAAAAGACCTATCCTTGCCCAGTATGCAAGTGTGAAACAGACATCCCAAATGGAGGTGCGAACTCATATAGAACTAACTTCACCATGCAGTCATTGGCTGAAGCCCTCGAGAGAACAAAGAAACAACTAAATAAATCTAGCATAAACTGTGACATCTGTGCACAGGGTGACGAACTTAGACCTGCTGTCGCTAGATGTATTGAATGTGCTGAGTATTTGTGCAACACTTGTGACAAATCCCATGGTAGAACGAGATTGTTGAAATCTCACCAGCGTGTTAAACTAACTGGGGATATTGAAAAGGATTCCAAGATTGCTATAGATGGTCTGGTTCAAAGGAATATTGATTGTACTGAGCACAATGACCAACCCCTGAAGTTCTACTGTAAGACAGACAAAACCATTGTATGTAGAGATTGTTGTATCACTGATCATTCTGGACATTCATGTGTGAAAATTGAAAATGTGGCAAAGGAAGAACTACGTAACGTATCTGCATTGATCGGACTAGCCATCCAAAGGAAAGATTTACTTGAGAAGCAACTTAAAAACTCAGAAAATTTGACTGACATCCAGGGAAAAAAACTCCAGAAACTTCTCAGTTCAATAAAATCAGATCGCAAAGCTAAGATAACTGAACTTGAAAGGTACTTTGATAAACTAGAAAGTGGGGCTAAGGAGGTGCATAATAACACTGTCAAACAGATGAAATCTCAAAGAAGCGATATAGAGCTACAGAGGGGCGTCACTGAGAGTACATTACTTCACCTGACCTCTCTACAAAAACATGGACATCCTGTCGAGATAGTTACCTCAAGTGCTGATATCAAACAAAAACTACAAGATTGGAGCTCAATGCCTTTAAGTGTAGACTTAAAACCTCATCTTAATTCTCTAGATATTGGGACATACAAACCTGGCCACTTGGACGTATCTAAACTGGGACAAATTCTCACATTTACTGATAAGGCAAGTGATAAAACTTCAGCGACATCTTTTCAAAGTAAAAAAAGTCTAAAACTATGTAGACCAAATGTATACAGAAGTGAACATTTAGTAGCAGAACAGAAATATGAGAATGTCATATCAGATATTTGTGTGGGTGAGAATCAAAACATATTAGTAGTAGAATCACCTGAACTCCAGAATATGCTTGTGACTTATGTAAACAATCACAGAACATTGAACAAAAAATCAACAAAGAAAATCAACTCAGATGGAGTGTGTACTGCCAAGGATAATTGCTATGCTGTATGTGATCGAACATACAAGTGTGTGGCTATCTACAATGAAAACTTGGTACACCAGAGAAACATTGGTAATTTCCAAGATCCATTTTATATATGTATGAACTCTGCAGGTGAGCTGCTGGTCATTGACTCAGCAGCCAAATGTGTGTACATTGTTGACTACAACGATGGCTCTATACTGGCAACAATAGGTGATGGTATATTGAATGGTCCTTCGTTTGTCACAAATAACAGCAGATATTCAGTCATTGTATCAGATGCATTAACAGACTGCGTATACATGTTCAACAGGAAGGGAGACCTTGAAAACAGCTATGGCACAAAGGGTAGTGGCAATGATCAACTCGACTGGCCATGTGGTGTCTGCACTGACTCACTTGACAACATCATTATAGCTGACTGTAATAATGACAGAATCCACTTGTTGGATCCCACTGGGAGGTTTATCAAGTACCTCCTGACCCCAGAGGACAACGTTAAGTATCCTTATGCACTTGCAATCGATCACAATGGTGACCTATTGGTTAGTACCTGGTTAAGTGGTGATCTCCACTTCATAAAATACATGGCCTATGAGTAAAACCAATGACAGAGACGAGACAATGAATCAGATGGAGCAAGGCAAACACGTCACGAATCAATTGCATTTCATTTATCTATTCCTTAATAATTTCCTTGTAATTGCACTCAAGACACTCGTGTAATCCAAAGAAATAAGATAATGAATAAACTTTGTGTTTTTGGTTAATATGGTTGTATGTTTTAGTTCTTTTAAATGCAACTTATCCTTCCTAATAAAGCCCCTGTTTCCAAAATGAATCTATTATATAGAAGACCCCTTCATAAATATGCTCATAGTGCCTAGAAATACTGATTGATCTTGATTACTCGAAATAAGCCAAGGCACCTACCATACCTTAAGATGGTTGATTATTATACTGATAGCATCGTTTATCATATTTTGTGGAATACTCATCGGGAGATGAGGCTTAAAATATCATACGGTATGTCCATCACTTACCCACATCAAAATAAATGTTTACAAAGCCAGAGTGTAACTTCCTATGTCTAACACTAACCTATATGTGATTCACTTACCCACATCTGACCCCTGCTGTATGAGATACTCTGCCATGTGAGCAGCCATTAAGGACTTTGATGAACACACATAATATCTATCACTTACCCACATCTGACCCCTGCTGTATGAGATACTCTGCCATGTGAGCAGCCATTTGGGACTTTGATGAACACACATAATATCTATCACTTACCCACATCTGACCCCTGCTGTATGAGATACTCTGCCATATGAGCAGCCGTTTGGGACTTTGATGAACACACATAATATCTATCACTTACCCACATCTGACCCCTGCTGTATGAGATACTCTGCCATATGAGCAGCCATTTGGGACTTTGATGAACACACATAATATCTATCACTTACCCACATCTGACCCCTGCTGTATGAGATACTCTGCCATGTGAGCAGCCATTTGGGACTTTGATGAACACACATAATATCTATCACTTACCCACATCTGACCCCTGCTGTATGAGATACTCTGCCATGTGAGCAGCCATTTGGGACTTTGATGAACACACATAATATCTATCACTTACCCACATCTGACCCCTGCTGTATGAGATACTCTGCCATGTGAGCAGCCATTTGGGACTTTGATGAACACACATAATATCTATCACTTACCCACATCTGACCCCTGCTGTATGAGATACTCTGCCATGTGAGCAGCCATTTGGGACTTTGATGAACACACATAATATCTATCACTTACCCACATCTGACCCCTGCTGTATGAGATACTCTGCCATGTGAGCAGCCATTTGGGACTTTGATGAACACACATAATATCTATCACTTACCCACATCTGACCCCTGCTGTATGAGATACTCTGCCATGTGAGCAGCCATTTATGACTTTGATGAACACACATAATATCTATCACTTACCCACATCTGACCCCTGCTGTATGAGATACTCTGCCATGTGAGCAGCCATTTGGGACTTTGATGAACACACATAATATCTATCACTTACCCACATCTGATCCCTGCTGTATGAGATACTCTGCCATGTGAGCAGCCATTTGGGACTTTGATGAACACACATAATATCTATCACTTACCCACATCTGATCCCTGCTGTATGAGATACTCTGCCACGTGAGCAGCCGATTGGAACTTTGATGAACACACATAATATGTATCACTTACCCACATCTGACCCCTGCTGTATGAGATACTCTGCCATGTGAGCAGCCATTTGGGACTTTGATGAACACACATAATATCTATCACTTACCCACATCTGATCCCTGCTGTATGAGATACTCTGCCATGTGAGCAGCCATTTGGGACTTTGATGAACACACATAATATCTATCACTTACCCACATCTGACCCCTGCTGTATGAGATACTCTGCCATGTGAGCAGCCATTTGGGACTTTGATGAACACACATAATATCTATCACTTACCCACATCTGATCCCTGCTGTATGAGATACTCTGCCATGTGAGCAGCCATTTGGGACTTTGATGAACACACATAATATCTATCACTTACCCACATCTGATCCCTGCTGTATGAGATACTCTGCCACGTGAGCAGCCGATTGGAACTTTGATGAACACACATAATATCTATCACTTACCCACATCTGACCCCTGCTGAATGAGATACTCTGCCATGTGAGCAGCCATTTGGGACTTTGATGAACACACATAATGTAGTGGACTTTTGCCTTCTTCATCACAGCTATGGAGATCACTGCAAGACACATTAGGGTTATTTCAATTGAGGCCTTCAATACATATTTATGTTATACCCAGACCTCCTCAGATCTCCCTTTGACTGTATGCTAGACAAGTCTGCATTTAAAATATGTACTTTCATAGATACTCAGACAAATCTTAAATTGCCAGGTTCATCTTACAAAATCCATACCACTTATAGTGAAACCTGTAAAGTGAAACATCTCTAGAAGTGGAACACTTTTGTAAGTGCAACCATATTCAGAGTCCCAAGACCAACTGACTTAATGTTAAATAACCCCTATAAGTCGAACCACTCCCAAGTGAACACTTTTTAGAGGTACAAAAGGTGTTTTAACTCAATTTAAAGTACATGTACTGTAAGTTCCCTATGAAGCCTCGACTTCCATTTTGAATTTGCATACAATGCATGATACGCATGTATAAAAGGCATAATGAGGTACAAAGACAGAGAATCATCAATTCAAGACCATACACAGCATAATTAATCACCCCAGACTGACATTCAAAAGACTATGATTTGCATATATTCAATGTCAAATGAAAAAGGATAGTAGATACTCAATAGAATACAATTCTTTAACCAATACTAAAAGTAGGCTTCACTAGATGATGTGCAAAGTGAGGGTTTTTCTCGTAAAGTGTGTATTTTAATTGCATATTTCTTTACAATTCAGTCAGTTGAAGGAAAATTAGGATAGGGGGTTTATAATGACTCTGTGTAAAAAGACACACATCGAAAAATATTGCACTTTTATTGAAAAATTCAAAATGGCAGGAACTAATTTACCGAGCATGTCCAAAACCCAATCAGATCTTGGCACTGGTCTGTATGCAGTACAAGATGATATAACAACATAGCATTTTTAAAAAGTATGATAAAAACATAACAAGACTTGGCAAATCCTTCAAAATATCTTAATCTAATGGCACTACAACACAATGAACACACTCACCCCCTGTGAGCTAACAACTCTGCCAGGACCTCCAGTGGATTAAAGTTCTTCACCATCTTGCTGCCCAGTTTCTCAAATAATGCCACGTCTCTGGTGACAAGCAACAAGGGGGTGAGACCATCTGCATTCTTACAGTTCACATCTAGACTCTTATCTCCAGACTGAAATTGTATTAAAATTGGATCATTCAACAAACATGGGATTTCAATATATTTCTTATCTATTTCCATTTATTAATAGATCTTGGTGAAGCATGAATAAGACATGAAAATTGCATAGGAACCCATCGCACAGCTCAATTTTGAAGAAAGTTGCATCAATTTTTGTATAATTCAAAGCAAATCTTATTTTTTGCCACAATTGCACCCCCATGACTGAAAACTGAAATTTTTTGGCGATCGAATCCCCCCTGACTGGAAGCTGGCTACGCCCCTGAATTGTATGTATATTATACGTAATATATATTTGGGTCTATTTGTAAAAGAAAAATAATTTATTAATATTAATGATATAGCAAATAATCTCTCAACCTACCAATAATTTCTTAACTGCCTTGCTATTTCCCTGCCATGCTGCCTGTAGGAGGTTACGATGTGACACACCATTGCGCTCTACTGCCTCTAAAAGAAGTGTCTTAATAGCAGGGGATGCTAGTTCGACTGCTGTCTTGCCGTCGTAGTTACGCAGTGTGATGTCAGCGCCATGCTTCAACAGAAGTTGCACGATCTGAAAAATGTGAAATATCAAAGTAAATATTTATTGGAATTCTTTTGACATGATAATGTAACATTGCAATTGTTTAATGTTTTCCTTTCGTATTTTTTTATTCAACTACTCCAAAGTTTCTATCAATCTGATTGGCCCGTGCAATATAAAGCCTTAAATGTAATCAATATTTTATTCATTAAAAAACTTATATCAACAAAAGAACACATACTGATATCTTTTCTTTTTCAAATCCAATTATCAAGAAACAATTAGATTCTAACATTTCTTTAAGGGTTGAAAATAGCATCACAACCCAATTTTTAGCGAAATCATAATATCACTATGAAACTGAAGATATACTCTCAAAAAACATCTTTCTAAGAAGTGATGTATTAAGGGACAGGGTAAAATATTTGCTGCTCCAAAAGCAAATCTCTCTTTGTTAAATCCTACCTTAGTATGTCCCCTCTTAGCTGCCCAAATGATTGGAGTGTTGCCTGTGCGCTTGTCCTTCATATCGACGCTAAGTATGACATCACTACGACGCTGCAGAAAATTCTCAATTCTGTCATAGTCGCCATCCTGCAGATGAAATTTGTCATTTATATAAAATGTCATTTTGGATGCTCATATCTTAAAGTTGTCGAGAGTTTACTTTTTCACAATTAATGCCAATGCCAAATATAATAAGTTTAAATGTGCTCATTTGTATGAAGTTTTTGAAATAACAAATGTAGCTTTTGAACTGATAAGTCTATCAAATAAAACGTGTATAGAAAATCAATGACGAATATGATATACTCTAAATTAGCCTTTGAAAGTTGAGAACAAAAGAAATATCTTTAAATCGTTTCATTGTCCATTGAAACAATCAATTTCTTACACCTGGCAATGAGATTTAATTGATGAAAAACAAGACAGTGTTCAATAAACTAGATATTCATCAAATATCTATTTATCTCCTTCACCACATTGCATTTCAAATATGTGGGACTTATTTTGATGGGAATAACTGACTCACCCTCGCAGCTGCAAGAAATAACTGCTCGACGTCATTGGAATCGCCATTTGAGAACAACGTCGATGCTATGTCGTTATATGTCTGCATAACCTCCTTGTGACGTGCCATACTATTTGGGAGCGCAGTTGAGCCTCTAATCCCAGGCTGGATGGAGGTCTTGCCATGCCCATTGGTATTATGGGTAGTTTTGTCATCTCGTCTCATGATTATTTTCCGTCATCTTTCACACCTGGAAGGTAGAGCAAAGCTATGAATTAAACGCTTCCCATTACCCAATATCATATTTTTAAACAGTCAAGTTTTTTTTCTATAAAATAAATAAATATCAAATATGTAGCCTCACCATAAGCTAGCAATTTTATGAGTAAATAAAGTGCATATGTAACTGTTTGCATTTAATGGTGTTTATAACATCAATGAACAAAGCAAACAAAAACTACAATATAGGGGTCATCTCAAGAATTCCCCATTCTGCAACAAATCCATTTTGTTAACTTACAATTACCATTCCTAGTTTATGAAATGCAACTTTTCATCGTAAAATACTTATTTTATTGAAAAATGGTTTCCATAACAGATAATGATCTTCACATTATCTTAACGTAACAGCCTACGTACATACTAGGGATACCACAAGCACTTGAGCAATTTACATCCAATAGTCGTATTGGTTTTCAAAATGAAAATATTCAATCTCTCATATCATGGGATCCCTAGTGCTAGCCCATCAACCAAACAAAAGCAATATGTGTAGAATTTAACTTGAAAACTATGAAACAGTCCCTTAATAGAAATGCCAGGCATTGCATGTGATTGTATCCTACAGAGTCCATTTTTGTTATTTTTGGGCCGCAGTTTATCACACTTTGCAACCAGAACATATTAATAATTAACTTGTTAACTAAACAAAATGTATATAACTTGTGTATGTTTGCTGTTTAAAATACAAACTTATTGTTTGTCATTACTAGCTAGTTTTCAAACAATTAAGTTAGAAATTGTTACTATATTTAACACAATATTCATGTTTATCATACATGACACCACTTTGCCACAAGTGCAATTCTTTGAACTCACAAACAAAAGAACAAACAAAACTCAAGCCTCTTTTTCTATCCTTTCCCGTTTCCTTTCAATTAACACATTCAATGTCACAATATGAGTTAGTTATCTCATCTATTTCTAATATCTAATCTTTTATCAAACATTAGATCTTGATAATGCCCTATCTTATCATACCATGCCAGGCCCGTAGCCAGGATTTGCCAAGGGGGGGGGTCACTTTTTGAAAAATTCTACAGGGGGTTCACTTGTGACAATGTTGGTCCAAAAATGGCCAAAATCACTCAGAATGGTGAAAAACTGCATGATTTTGAAAGATTTTTTGGCCGGGGGGGGGGGGGGGGGGAGGAGGGGGGTCAACCCATCAACCCCCCTGGCTACGGGCCTGCATGTTCATTGTTCTATAAATGTACATGTATGTAGAGATAAAATGACTAACAAGATTGTCTGTCAATGGTTGAATTTATCAATTGTTTATATTATATGAAGAGGGCAATAAGAAGATTGTCTGTCAATGGTTGAATTTATCATTGTTTATATTACATGTATATGAAAAGGGCAATAAGAAGAGTGATTAAGCATAACAGATAGATCTAACACAAATTTAAAGGATACAATTTTTTTCCCTTTTAGAATTAATTGTTCACTTATAGTGTCATTCAAAAAAAAACAATGGATCCCAAATATGTCACGCAGGCAATCTACATCCCCCGATCACAGGGTTAAGACTTGAAAATTATTTTAGAAAATGAACATGAGACAATCTTATTAACAGGCATCTCATCTGGAAGAATGTAAATTGTCTCTACCTGTAATCAATATACCTGATGACAACCTCTAATCCACAATGAATTATTGATCCCATCCATATAATACACAAGGCTTCAGCTTCTTTGAATACAGTAAAACCTGTCTAATCCATTGTCATTGTCACAAGTGAACCCCCCTGGAATTATTAAACAAGAACACAAATGTGTACAATATGTCCCCACCTATGGGTGATCCCGTCAAATGGTTATCCTAAAAATGAGTAGGCAAGACTTTACCGACATAATTTGAGGACGGAGAATCCAAAATGGCCACCTTAAAATTTACCAAGAATGCCAAAAAAGTTAGTCAGTTCTAGATTTTCATACTAAGAACCACCCCTGAAAATTTGAAATTGATCCGTCACACAGTTAACCAGAAAACATGTAAACAAGACTTTACAGACAAGATTTGAGGACAGAAAATCCAAAATGGCTGCCTTGACATTTATCCAGAATGCCAAAAACTAATCTGTTCTAGATTTTAATACTAAGAATCATCCCTGAAAATTTGAAATTGATCTACCAAACAGTTCACCTGGAAATGTGTAGACAAGACTTAACAGACGAGATTTTAGGACAGAAAATCCAAAATGGCTGCCTTGACATTTACCCAGAATGCCCAAAAACTAATCAATTCTAGATTTTCATACTAAGAATCATCCCTGAAAATTTGAAATTGATCTACCAAACGGTTCACCTAAAAACGCATAGACAAGACTTTACGGGCAAGATTTTAAGACGGAAAATCCAAAATGGCTGCCTTGACATTTATCCAGAATGCCAAAAAACTAATCAGATCTAGATTTTCATACTGAGAATCATCCCTGAAAATTTGAAATTGATCTAGCAAACGGTTCACCTGAAAATGCGTAGACAAGACTTTACATACAAGATTTTAGGACGGAAAATCCAAAATGGCTGCCTTGACATTTACCCAGAATGCCCAAAAACTAATCAGATCTAGATTCTCATACTAAGAATCATCCCTGAAAATTTGAAATTGATCTACCAAACGGTTCATCTGAAAATGCGTAGACAAGACTTTACAGACAAGATTTTAGGACGGAAAAATCCAAAATGGCCGACAATAAAAAAGTGATTGTGAGTTTTTGCTGAAATCTTTTTACAAAATTATCACATATAACTACTGTTAACAATAACATAGGCTTTTACAACAAAGTACACCTGAAATTATTTATAAAGCTACTAAAAAGTTAAAGTATGAAAACTGAAAAACACCATTCAATATGATACAAAGTATTATCGTGCGCTAACTTTTCTTAAAACATTCAAAATGGCTGACATGACTGAGCTAACAGGTCCAAAACCTAATCAGATCTAGAATGAAGTGAGCTGAACAAGATCTTAAAGTTTTAAAAGCAACGGTGATGCCGTTTTTCTTAAAGTTTGCAGACAAGGATTTTAGCATTTGACTTCAAAATGGCCGACAGGAAGTAGGTATCGAGTTAATTTTTTTTCATCCACATCTGTATGCACTCATAAGTTATCCCTGAAAATTTGAAGGTGATATCTGTAGCGGTTTTTGAGAAAACTGCCGGACGTACGGACGGACAGACAGACGGACAGACAGACGTACGGACAGACGGACGCGCCTAGGCCGACAATATGGCCCCACACTATGTGGTGGGGACATAAAAAGTGAACCCCCCTTGGCAAATCCTGGCTACCCACCTGGGGATACTGTACACATGAGAAATTCATAAAATTAGATCCAACAAAGTGTTCAATTAAATTGAGAGGTCTTCAGATTAGAGAGTTGTTCAGTTATACAGGTTTCACTGTACATAATTTCTTATACATTTTATTCAACTAGGTTAACAAATTGTTCATCTTACACTCATACTGCACTTGGTAAGAAAGCTATAGCATGAAACTGAATAGACTTATTCAGTTGAAGTATACATTTCTATTTATTCTTTGGGTACTTTTGTATTAAGTGAAATAGGGGATGGGCCAATATTCTTGGGGAAATATAAATAACTTAAATTATTCTTGAGTAGTATATTCTTCTAGCCATAATTAGGCAGACTATTTTCAAACCATAACCTTGTTTCAATCTACAAACCCTCCATGCCAAAAACCAGAGGGTGAGAATGTGTGTGGGGGGGCTTGCCCCAGAGTCCAAATTTTGCCAGAAATAGAATTTTTTGACAAAACATATCTATAAAAATACTCGGTAAAATTTTGAGCTCTGCCAAAAAGTGAGAATCTTAGAATAATCAATAGTCCTGCCCCAGGCAAAACAAATGATCCATCCTTAGAAGTGTGTCACAAGATTTAATTAATGTAAATATGGAGCCTGGAAGAATTATTGAATTTTCCCTGTAAATAGCTGGTGACAGCAAACATTTGACTCTCCAATAATCAATTGAGACACTTCCACCTAGATATACATACAGTGTATGTCCCCATTCCGATGGTTCTATTTTGCCTCTTAAAAGTGAGCTTCATCTACATTTAATACTAGGCATTAAGGCACAGGGAAGAGAAGCTGGGGCATTTATGCAAAATTGTGTTATTCTTGTTAATAATTACCCAACGTTGCTATCAAATGAAACATATTGCCCAGTTTCCTCTAAGATAATTGCTCTTTAGTTTAACATGAATTACTTTTCCATAATTGTATATTTCATGTTGCTTTATGTCTTTATCAGTTTATACAATGATCTCATAGCTAAATATAATCCTGAAGCCATATGCAGTCCATATAATGTATTAATGGTTTAAGGTTTAGCTATAGTTCTATCTTGATCCTGAAAGTTATTTCACTGAAATAATTCATGACATATCCATATGTAATAATTTATCATTGGATGGCGAAAAATAATTTTGAAGAGAGTTTTCATTTCACATTTATTGCTTCATTGCCCCCCCCTCCATCTACCTATGCACTATACATAAGAAAACAAGCCAAGTATAATCCTAAAATAAGAGTTATGTATTATTACCAGAAGGGCCTTGTATTATTTACCAGAAGGGCCTTGCATTATTACCAGAAAGGCCTTGAATATTACCAGAAAGGCCTTGAATATTACCAGAAGGGCCTTGTATTATTTACCAGAAGGGCCTTGCATTATTACCAGAAAGGCCTTGAATATTACCAGAAAGGCCTTGAATATTACCAGAAGGGCCTTGTATTTTTTACCAGAAGGGCCTTGCATTATTACCAGAAAGGCCTTGAATATTACCAGAAAGGCCTTGAATATTACCAGAAGGGCCTTGTATTATTTACCAGAAGGGCCTTGCATTATTACCAGAAAGGCCTTGGATATTACCAGAAAGGCCTTGAATATTACCAGAAGGGCCTTGTATTATTTACCAGAAGGGCCTTGCATTATTACCAGAAAGGCCTTGAATATTACCAGAAAGGCCTTGAATATTACCAGAAGGGCCTTGTATTATTTACCAGAAGGGCCTTGCATTATTACCAGAAAGGCCTTGAATATTACCAGAAAGGCCTTGAATATTACCAGAAGGGCCTTGTATTTTTTACCAGAAGGGCCTTGTATTATTGCCAGAAGGGCCTTGTATCTTATTTACCAGGAAATGTCTCACTGCAATGACTACCACAGGATGTGCATTCCAAATATTGACATTGTTATCTCTCAGATAACACATTGGAACTTTCAATTCTGCTAATCTGATAAGTCACAGTAATTGAAACAATTAATATCCACTCACTGATTGTATTGATTTTGATCAAACATTTATCTTCATGTAATACCTGATTCACTGTCACTCTGCAGGGGTTTCGTTAGCAGCAGGCAACAGGCGATTTTCACTGGTTGTTTTCACAAAATCGCCTGTTGTTTTTAGGGACTTTTCAACTTTTCCATGTACGTAAAATTCACGATTTCCATTAATTTTGCCTGTCGTTTTCATTTATTTAGCCTGTTGTGAGAAATTCTAGTGGTAGAGCTCCCAATTACTTCTTCACTTTTCTGTGTATTAATTAGGAAAAAGAGGTTAGACTTTGAAATCTTGCTGAAGTTTCTTTGATATACAGTTATTTTACTTTATTCAATTTGCCAGGGTTTAACTTCTCTGTAAAATTCCCATTGACAAAATGTTAAATGTTCTTTAAAAGGGTTACAATTTACCCTGCGTGCAGAGTCTAGTTAAACTACACTCTGCCTAGTAGAGACCATATTTCAGTTTAGTAGCCCCGCCCCCACGACGGGTACCGGTGACAGTTTGGGCAATAAATCACTTCTGACCTATGCGCTGGCCATTCTTCCACCATTCAGCGAGCTTGAAGAAATATACGCCAAATGCGTTCTAATTAAATATGCGCATGTCATTGGTCAATTCTGGGCTCAACGATGACGTCAGAAGGAATGACCATATATAGAACGTCGGTCAAATTTGGCCGACGAACACTGATTGGCACGGTGAGTTCACAGGTTTATTTTAGTTTGAAAGAGTGAAGACGAAGCTCTCTTTTAAGAAGTGAAGTCAAACGAATGCAAAGGGTAGTTACAATTTTAAGGTAATATCACAATCTGTACAACTGCAAAAGCGCAGTGTAAAGTACTATATTGGGGTCCATTTTTGGAACTTTTGTACCTTATGATTTGATCGCAAGTCATTGTTTGTCAAAAAGTAGATGATGGTTTTCTTAGAACCAATGTCACAATCATAACAAAACCGAACCACTGTACCTCATTAAATGCATTAAATATTAGTACCTGTTAATGAACAATATTATTCTGTCTAGATGGATCATTTAACCAGTTGGGGGTATTACATGTGAGCATATGGTCATGCTACTTCTGAATTGTTAATTGAATAACACAGTACCATAATGCAATATAGAGTAAATGGGACAATGGGACAACATAGAACTTTACATCATGTCTGGTATAAAAAAACACATTTCTATCATGAGTGAGATTAGAAGGATAAGCTAGACTTCAAAGGAAACTGTATTCCAGGTTAGGATTAGGAGTTTCAGGACCCCCCCCCCCCCTTCTACTTCACTTCTTATGGGGGTAGTGAGATTTGCAGGGGACTGAAGCGAGACAACCTAACTTTACATATAAACTCGAAATTCAAGGGACATTTCATTGATGTAACCAATATCCCATGAGAAGTGAATATAGCAATATAATCTTAACTCAGCTACAATTGAAAACTACAATAATGCAATTGTTAATAGGATATCACCAGGCTCATAGCCCCCCCCCCCTCCGGCCAGAAAATCTTTCAAAATCATGCAGTTTTTGTCATTCTGAGCACTTTTTAAGTGATTTGGGCCACTTTTGGACCAAAATTGTCAAAAGTAAATCCCCTTGAATTTTTCAAAAAGTGAGCACTTTTTAAGTGATTTGGGCCACTTTTGGACCAAAATTGTCACAAGTAAATCCCCTTGAATTTTTTAAAAAGTGAGCACTTTTTAAGTGATTTGGGCCACTTTTGGACCATAATTGTCACAAGTAAATCCCCTTGAATTTTTCAAAAAGTGACCCCCCCTTGGCAAATCCTGGCTACGGGCCTGGCTACATCCCACCCATTGTGTTTATTAACCCTATATTTTCTAATTGTAAAAGCTTTGTTGACACTGAATGTTTTATTTTTCAGTCTGATTAATCATCAACAGTATGAAAAACTTTAACCCCTTGAATTCCCAGAGTGACAGTGAGAAGATCATTAACCCTTGAATTCCAAGAGTGACAGTGAGAAGATCATTAACCCTTGAATTCCCAGAGTGATCGTGAGAAGATCATTAACACCTTGAATTCCAAGAGTGACCGTGAGAAGATCATTAACCGTTGAATTCCCAGAGTGACAGTGAGAAGATCATTCATCCCTTGAATTCCCAGAGTGAAAAACTCCAGGGGGGTCATTTTTGACAATTTTAGTCCAAAAATGGCCAAAATCACTAAAAAGGTGCTCAGAATGGTGAAAAACTGCATGGTTTTGATAGAATTTTTGGCCAGCGGGAAAACCATCAAACCCACTGGCTACAGGTCTGAAAGTAATGGGTGTTATATACCATCTGTTCACATGCAGTCCAAAAACAATGGACCACTTTCACCACAATAGCACCTTTAATTACCATGGAAATTAATACAGAATTCTTGCTATTGTTACCAATGTGGCATTAATCTAAATCATAATAGATTTAGTAATGGAATTATAAATGTAGTATTGCCCTAAGACATAGCCAAGATTTGCCAAAAGGGATTTCTTTGTTTTACAAGAGGATTTGTATAAATTTCATTCTTGATCTATCAAGGTATTACCGAAGGGGGGGGGGGGGGTATTAAATATGGCTATTAAAAGGAATACACTGATTAACCAGTATGATCAATTTCTGCATGATAAAGTTTTTGAAATTCTCTCTCAAAGCAGCATTGAATTATCCCCCATTTCAATTCGTTGCATTTACACAAACATACATGTTTTATTATATTCTTCTACTTTAAAGATATCTTAAGCTTAAATGTCAAAGGAAAATCACCAAATCAAAAACTGTAAAGAAACCTGGCAAGAAAAGCAAACTCATTTGTTCATTTATTGTTAATTAATACAGAGCAATATTGCGTCTCAATCCACTAATCAATTGCTTTGTCTCTTTAACCAATACCTCCCAGCATGCAAGAGCGATATCGGCTGGTTGAAACATCAATTTCTGGTGCTTCAATAACATGCAACTTGTGACCATTATTATATGCAGCATGAAGAAGATTTTTATTGTCTTTCTTTAACTTTACCCTTAGCTATTTTAATGCGTTAATCTTCTAAATCCCAAAAATATCTATGTCTGTAATAACCTCTAACCAAAGCAAGAGATTATACCTAAATAAGGTATCAGGCATATTTGAAAACAATTACTATTTTGGGTAATATTCTTGATGGCAAAATATGTTGTAAAAAGAATTTAACTCTAAATATAGGATTATATCATTCATGCATTTTATATTTAACAACTGAAAACAATCAACCAATTTCAATGAGTATATATAGTATAACACCCAATAAAAACATGGAAATCTATTTGATGTTTTAACAATTCATTTCTACAAGCAGTAACTCTAAATATCAATAAAATATGAAAAAGAGATTTACCAACAAATAATTCCGGATTAGCTGTGAATATAAACCAAATATTGGTAACTAAATATATAAAATTTAAATCCTTGAATTTCAAGAAATCTCTTAATTGTTAAACTTTTGTAAAATTCCTACCTGCTGCTCTGTAGAGTGTAGAAGAATTCTAATTTTGAATTCCTTTACAAAGTCTCGTTAAATTCTTGCATACATAAGATTGCGTGTTCACACGGGTAAACTCCAAATATTTGTCCTTTAATCAATACCATGCTTAAGTTGCTTCTTTTTTGTCGAAATGCCATATCAAACACAACGGAGCAATCACATTTGGAATCTTTGTTTAATTAAGGTCATGTGACCAATATGCAAATGAGGTACCTATTGATTGATTAGTCTCGACGCGTGCACATGTGCATAGGACAATACTCTGTGGATACTATTCCATATTATAACATTGATTCACAGAGGTTTAATAATTAATGAAAGTTGAAATAATCTCACATTAAACTCTGAAAGGGGAAAAATTAGTTAACAATCAATTTGTTTTTATCTGTATATAATATAAATTATGGGAGTTTAATTGTTAGATTGTATGACAATATTTCACAACTGTCACAGTATTCTTAAGCCCTACTACACATTGAAAAAATGCAATATTTTCCAATAAGAAGATTTTCTAATTTAGGACACATCTGGAAAAATATGTCAGAAAATGGCAACTGCAACCATGATTAGAAATTATCAAACTATAAAACCGAAATCATCAACTTTTATTCACTTTTATTTTAATTCATATTTTAAAAAATATAAATGTAATTGTGTTTTGTATGAAGATCTCAGATTGTGTTCTAAAGCTAGCAGACCTGATAAAGAGTACTCGCTATACATACGTATGACAAATCATCTTCACTATGGTAACACATCATCTTCACTATGGCAACACTTCATCAAACCATCTTTGATAACACTTTATCAACCCATTCTAATGACACTTTATCAAACCATCTTCACTATGGTGACATTTCATCAACCATCATCACTATGGTAACACTTTATCAACCCATTCTAATGACACTTTATCAAACCATCTTCACTAGGGTGACACTTTATCAAACCATCTTCACTAGGGTGACACTTCATCAAACCATCTTCACTGTGGTGACACTTCATCAAACCATCTTCATTACAGTGACACTTCATAAAACAATCTTCACCAGGGAGACACTTCATCAACCATCTCCACTATGGTAACATTTCATCAAACCATCTTCACTATGGTGACACTTAATCAAACATCTTCACTATGGTAACATTTCACCAAACCATTGTAACTATGGTGATGCTTCATCTTTTCAATACTTATCACATATTTCTGTTTTGTTAGCAAAGACTAAGAAGAAACGAGATGAATAACCTTTGAAAAAGTTCAATTTTCCTGAATGTTAACTCGGCTCTGACCGCAACGGGATCAGATGATATTATTTAGCATGCCTTAGACTATCCTCCGTTTAAATCCTGAAATATCTTCTCCGATTGAATACATGTCAAGTTTTGCAAAATGAACTTATCATGCAATTTAGGATTAAAAACACTTGTGTACATTTGTGCACAAATCAATATCAAAGGAATACTGTTGATTTCTATCTTTAAGAATACCTTGAAAATTAGAATTAAATGAAACATTTGAAAATAAACACAATTCTCTACAGTACATGTATATAAGAAAGTCTTGATATTAAAAGCAAACAACCAGCATTTGTGTATTATATTTATCAATTACTTCGTCACTGATAGCTTAACCATGCTATAAACCTATCAAATAAAATAGAAATTTTCCATCACTTTACAATCAATAAAGTAGCGTTACCTTGGCGATGAAACAATTGTTTAAGACCTATAAAGTACCTAGTGAATCAAATCGACGGAAACCTTCCATACTAATATGCATAACCCCATCCATTTAGAGTTGAAATGATGTTCTACTTCCTTGTAAGATTGCATTTTTCCTTTTTTTCAATATACTCAAAAAGGCATCTTAATTTTGATTAATATTATTTGGACAACGCAAGGAAGATTGAAAGGGCAAGATGACATTTTAAGACAAGAGATACCCCGTCATGCTATTGTTGATCAATATATTATAGGCGACAAAACACAAAGGGAATCAATGAAAATCTATAGTAAGCCACAGTACAAGAAGAATCACATTTCTCTTTTAATGAAACACTGCAATACAGTAATGCAATGTAGTAAATAGTACAATACAGTACACCATAATATGCCACAGTACAGTACAGTATAATACAGTACAATATATAACACAGTAATATAATACAATACAGTATTAATATACAGTGCAGTGTAGTACAGTACAGTATAGTACAGTACAGAAAAATACAGTACAGTACAGTACAGTAGTATAGTATAGTATAGTATAGTATAGTATAGTATAGTATAGTATAGTATAGTATAGTACAGTACAGTATGGTACTGTAGATCAGAATTGAGCTAATCAAAATGATTATGTCACCATGAAAGTGCATTTACAAAATATTTAAGATATCTTTGGATAACAATAAAAATAAAAAAAATAAAAACATACCTGGAAAGATCCATTTTTCTGTCTCTTATACACAATAATATCAACTGTTTGAATGTTTGACAATCTGCCCTGAATTTTATAGAAAACTCTATCCTCAATATCTAAATTAGGTCAAGTGTTTCTATGTTAGACTATTGGTTTACACATTTGTCCCTAAGTTCAGCACATTTATGATTTAAATATCAATGTGGCTTAGTTTAATATTATCATTAACTATTTGGATTGGTTCGAATTTTAGGCTATCAAAATGATAATATTTACAAAATGAATTTATGTCAACTTAGCCTTAAGTTAAGGTACCATAAGTACTGACAAGTTAAATAGTATATGATTGTATCAATAGTAATACAGTACAACCTGCAGGACTGTAGTAAGGGGGGGGGGGGGGTGTTCCAGGGGGGGGGGGGTGAGCAAACCCCCTTCCTGGCCCAAAAAATCTTGCAGTTTTTCAACATTCTGAGCAATTTTCAAGATGATTTTGGGCCAAAATGGTCAAATGTGAGCCCATCATGAATTTTTGTAAAAAGCAACCCCCTTGGCAAAAGCTGGCTATGGGTCTGACCTGTATTTATGTTAACATCTGTACATTTTTTCAATCCCATTTTTAATCAAAGACACAGATCTCCATGTTAAAAAAAACTTGAAATGTGAACACCTGCCAATCTGAACACTTTTGGCCTGTCCCAGTGGTGTTCAATGTGACAGGTTTAACTAGCTATTATTTTGAAGGGCTATATTGGAAAGTTGGAATGTTTATTTGTCCCCTTTCACCATTAGATAATACCTCATGGCCCTTATCAATGCATAGGACCATGACACAAGGTTCACTCAGATAAGAGCTATCAGGTAACTTTTCAAATTTTCTACCTTAGGGATTTTATTCAATTTACTTTTAGTTGTAGCATGAAATGGTACAATTACTAAATGTAATGCTCATGATATGATACTGTAATAGATCACAAGTGAATTTTATGTCTTGATGGAGGATGGCCCTTTTCTGATCTACCTTTTTATTTCCAATTTTTTATTTTGCTTCTCAAAAGACAGCTTCACCTACCTACATAAGACCTATTCTAATAAACAAGGCTCTGATACACAGGGTATATTTATAACGTGACTACCCATTCCATTTACTGTTTGACTTTGTACTTAAAAGACAGCTTCAACTCCATAATACATATTTGATAAACAAGGCTCTGATACCAAGGGTATATTTATAATGTGGCCACCAATCCATTTGCTTAACTTTACTTCTTAAAAGAGAGCTTTATCTACATGTACAGTTTAGATCTAAACTCTGCATCCAGTATATAAGATGCCATATTTGTAAATAGAGAGACCACTGACTTGACCAGTGCAGCTTCATAACAGACAAGGTAACCTAAATACGAGATTCCAGATTTCAGATTTCAGATTTCGAACATTTACTTAATATCTAAGAATCACTTCAAAATGCAAAATGTCACCACCATCTATTTGTTACAGATACCAACTGCAAAACGCTGACCATCGAACGCCAAACCTTTTTCATTGCAATATACTTAATAAAGTGCACTCACCCTATCATACTTTAAAAAACTGATTCACCGTACAACATTGTACAATTTTGATTTCTACAAACAAGGTTTTTGAGAGTATATACTTCTATGGGCCTTGTGAACACATAAAGCTGTTATTAAAATTCAAGTACATACAAAATATACAAGTGCTTTGACACAGCATTCAACATGTTCAAAAATCCTATTCAAACAAAAGAATTATTTATGTTAGGATTTGGATTAAGCACACATTCCAAAAATGTATGTAAATCATTTTTGAAAAGTGACACCCATAAAATAATCGTAAATTGAGCTGAAACTATATTATTAAAATGAAGCTATATTTGAAAATTGAAGATAGGAATGCCTCCTTTGATAATGGTCATTCTCAATATTTCTCAGGTCACTTAAAATTGCTTTATTTGTTATGTTATTTACATCTAAAGCACAGTCAGCACTATCAATGGTATATTCTAAAAATATAGGGAATATAATAGAGAAAAGTCCATAAGGCGTTTGTGACAAAATTTCCCGGAAGTGTTATATTTCCATTTATCGTTCAAACTGAGACATTTATGCTAATAATTCGACGTGTATATGATTCTTACATACCCAATACGATCAAAAATGTTACTAACATACCAAATGAAAGGTGATTTCCTGGTCAAACTTGCAAAAGTTGGTCCAAACTCGCACTTGAACCGAATATTTACCGGAAGTGTTTATATTTCCATTTGGGTGTCACTACGGTAAATCATTGAAAAATATTGAAAAATCACAAAATTCAGGTTCTGGGATACATATCGCCATTTTCGAACGAATTAGCCCATACAAGAACTATATTTCTGCGTTCCCCTATACATGACCTTCATCTTGACCATATATTTAACATAGGGTTTGCGTCTTGATTTTTAAATATCACTACGCCAACACAGGGACTCATTTTTAGGTAAAATCCCTGCTTCACCGATGAAAATTAACGAATAAAGTAGTTCAAGTTTACGGGACTATATTCTTGCGATTTTTTTTCTAAAAATGGCACATTTAGAAAGTAATTGGCCTCAGCTTTACATACA